TGTGACTCATGCCATTATCTGAAAGCCACAGACTATGGTCTCTTTTCAATGCAGGAATAGAACCTTGCTTTACCATGAAATACGTTCTCTTTTTTTTAAGTTATATTTGTTTTGTACCGGGGAAATAATGGAATGTGGATTTGTACTAAGATACAGAAACTCACTGAGACCATTTGTATATGTATTTTATGTTCAGTGAGATAGTTCCATTTTTTTAAAAACAGGTAATGGTGGGGACAGTCAGGCTATCGCACATCAGCTAATGAAAAACCCTGGAGTATTGGCTGCGCTTCAGGACAAGCTGTGCTCAATTGTCGGTTCACCATCCGGCTATGTGCAAAGGTAAATATGATTCTGTTGACAGGTGCAGTTTTTAATAGGCATCCTAGCTTGGCAGATTCCCTGTGTAGAAATAGTTTGTTGCACAATATTAGAATGCTGATATAAGCAAATATTAATATATCTAAACAGGGTTTACTAATTTGCCATGTTTTTACCTGTTCTGATCTCAGGACAGGACATAACAAACTTAACCAGCATATGCACAGGCTTCGTCCACTGCACACAAAGTTGTATGGGACTAAAAAGAAACTCATAAAAACAGTCAAGTTTATCACAAGAACCTGTCTGTCGGTGTAAATCAGAAAGCGAACACAAGAAGAAGAAGAACCTGTTCTGAGTTAATAATCTTTAACTAATACTGTATATAATTCCTTCACTTACTCTCAGGCATGCAAGGGGAAATTGTGAGGGTATCAAGGACAAGTTTGCGGTGTAAAATTTGTCACTAGATCACTAGAACAGCACCACCATTCTTGTACTTGAGTTGTAGATGGCCTGTCTTCCTTGGCTACAGAGCATGTTCCCCCTGTGTACTGTGTTTGCCCTATCTTCATCGACTGTAAACTTCACTTGCATGAAAAACATTATTTCTCTAATAACTTCACCAAAAATTAGAAAATTATGTGAATCAACAGCGAAGTTGGTTAGGAAGAATTCATAGTTAGCAAGTATATTTTTGACTAGTTTTGTTGTTGCGGTATTGTATTTTCAAGTATATTGTGTTGTATCTGTTAAATATTAATAAAATATTCACTCCCTATAGACATGGCAAGCATAATCTGCTGGCAGAGTGTAGAACTATCTTTGTGCTAGTGACAAGTCGCATGTCACCAGTTGTGTCAAACACATTTATTTCTTCTTCTGCAGTTTGCCTAAAGAAGTAAAGCGACGGATTAAGGCTCTGAAGAAACTTCAGAATGAAATTATCAACATAGAGTCTGAGTTTTACAAAGAAGTGAATGCTCTGGAGCTGAAGTATGCACCCAAGTACTCCAAGATTTTTGAAAAGGTAATTTTCTTTGGGAAACAGAAAAGAGAGGGATGATTCCTTTTATGTTCAGATCTGTCAAGCTCCTGTGCATTATAGAAAAAACCAACATGGTATAGAAAAATGCAAACAAGTGGTGATTAGAATAAGATGGAACTTAGAGACATTGTAGAAAATCCTTTTCATCTAACACAAATATTCCACTTTTGTGTGCCAATCCACGTAGCAGAATGAGCCTAGTTTCACACAAGTGAGCACCGGATCTTGTTCTTCACTTTCTTGCATGGATTGTTTTTGTAAGACACACCAGGATTTTGTTCTTCACATTCTTGCATGGATTGTCTTTGTAAGACACACCAGGATTTTGTTAGTTGTAGTAGTATCTCTCCCCCCCCCCCCCCCCCCCCCCTAACCATGTGGGATGGCACATACATTAGTACTTGTCTTGGATTAGTCAATTTTTTCTTTGTTCAAATTTAACAAACATAGTACTACAGGAATTGCCTTGTATGTTTAAAGTTCTTCTTACAATTATGTTGATGTGGTTTTAAAAAATTATTAATTTTAGGTTTACTGTATGATAATATATGTTTAATAGTAACACACTGCTTTATATCTGGAATGGTTTATTTTTTGTGTGTTCCCAGAGGAAAGATATTTTGAATGCCAAAAGAGAGCCAACAGATGAAGAATGTGATTGGCCCAGTGATGAAGAGGAAGACGAGAAAGATGAAGAGGCTAAGCTAGCTGTAAGTTGTTTTTAAATACAGCCCATTTTTAAAGTGAGAAACAGGGTCGACGAAACAACGAAACAATGTAACATAACTTGAAACATTTTGTAATCAAAGACCCATTTTAAGCCAGTGTAGCACTGAGCAAAGGATGCCAATCAGCGCATAGTAGAGTATGGTAAATATGCCGACCACCCTTACTTTCCTGGACATGGTACCAATTTTTATCTGTTACGACCTGAGAGCCATCAGTTTTGAGAAACATAATATTGTCTCGATGTAGATTCGAAGCAGGACTATTGTCTGAGCAGGTGTCTAGTCACTAGTGCTATCGTTACTTCCTTGCCAGAGTAAGTACCTTCTTTTTATAGTGCACATCTTCTCACACACAATCTTACAAAATGGCGTTAAAAAGAAACATAATTCTCTGAAACTTATTTCAAAGAGGAAGAAAATCAGAAATTGGTCTTTAAAAAAAAAGGCAGGCTAGCTTAAGCCTGCTAGCTATTAGTTCATCAATCCCACACCCCCCTCTCCCCCCCAGTAACTGATATTATTATGAGATATTATATTATGAGATATTATTTTCCGCAGCTGTGCGGTTTTTCTTTTATAAGACAAGTAATCATTAAAGCATACGAGCAAATAAAATGAAGAAAGCTGCAGGAGATGCGGTAGCTGCTGCTTGTGAGTCCCAGCCATCTAGTTTAGCCCCGCTCCACGCCGCCCATAGCGGCCTGGGTGATACTCGGGGGTGGCGCAATTTTAATGTGACTGAGGCCCTTTTGAGGTATATTTTGGGCCTCGAAAATTTGGGACCATTATTCAGAGGATAGCCGTAAATTCTATTTTTAAAGTGCAAGTGATTAACATTGTATGCAGTAAATAAGGTTTGCAGTTTTTAAAAAACAATCTGATGAGCCACTGTGGTGTAGTGACAAGATGCTCACCTGTGGATCCGAAAGTTGAGGTGTGGTTGATAGTTGTACACCACCAGGACATCACACAAGCGATAAACACCCAGTGACACAAAGTGCCACTATGCGGATGAGGATCACCCGTGGAGAGGTCCCATAAACCCCTTTCAGCCGTTAGGCCATATCTATGCTTGGCTATATTCAGGGCACCTAGGCAGAAGACGGGGTTGGTTTTCAAAAAACAAAATCGTTCCCCATCAGGACGACATTAACTAGCAAGTTGTGGGTTCAAGTTTTTCTGTTTAAATGACCCTGCCTTCCAGGTCAACTCGGCCCTAAATGAATACTAAAGTCTGGGAAGTAAATGTAGCTGGTGTGATGTTGACCACACGATCACCAATTGTTCTATAAAGTACAGGTCTAGTCCTATGTGCCCAGTACGCCTGAAGGTGATAAAAAGGGTCTTTTACTGTTGCTTAATCCACTAACGACAGGTAAGTTTGTTCGGCATTAACCATAACACATTGTTTGACAAGTTGTTTGGGTGCATTGATCTTCAATGTAGCCCGAATCTCAACAGGGAGAGCTCAAGGACAAAGCAACTGTGGAAGGGACAAAAGAAGCTGGTGGGGATGCTGAGAAGAAACAAGGTGAGTTAATTATTTAAAAGTTTCTGCATCTCAATATTTAGCATACTGTAAGATTAATTTAAAAAAACATAATTGCTAAGCTGCTCCCACGATATAAGCTCACTGTCCACAATCTAGGGTAATTCTTTTGCTTGTGTAAAACAAAAACAAAGATAACAGTTTACGACACATTACACTGTCTTCATTGTCCTCACTGTGTGACTTTCATGTCCCCTTTGTTGGGAAAACAAAATAGACCCATTGCATACCCATAAATATGTAGAAGTCTAAGCAAGAAACCAACCCTCTGCATGCAAATGCACTCAAAACTCGGGTTCTGGAACGAGACCAGTGTCCAGAACTTACACTTGAGTTTAAAGCTGGTGAACGCGAAGGTTACATTATGCACTGTCGTGTGTGACCCCCTAGAGTATATTAGATGAAATGTAAATTTTCTAGCCACAAGTTGGTGACAAGTACTGTTGGTTTCTTTTATCTGCATATGCATGAAATTGAAGGTTGTCAATGACTCTTCTATGTTTGATGGTTTTAGCAGGAGAATGCCCTGCCCTCTGATCTTTTGTGTTTATCAGGGCAAACCAGTCGGTTGCTGCAACTGTCTGTTGAATGTGTAGAATACACACTTAGGTTTATAAAGAGACTACTTTACTTGAAATCTGAGTTTTTTAAAGTTATAGAAATTGTCAGTCGTTGGTGTGCAAAGAGTTGGTAGCATCTAGAAAATAGGGTTGACGTGTATCTGAAGTCACATTACATTTAGCGTCTGAGCTTTTAAATTATATATATATATATATATTTTAAATGGGAACCATCTGGAAGCCCCAATGTCTGCATCAGTGGTGAAACATTTTTCAGTTGGATTTTTTTAATTATAGAAATGAACAGGCATTGTTGCATTGTCTTTGAAACGAAAAAATACCAGCACAGTTCTCACCTTTTTTCCTTACCATATATATTCTACAGAGGAGGTAAAAGGTATTCCAAGCTTTTGGCTGACAGTTTTCAAGAATGTGGATATGCTGTCTGACATGATTCAGGTACATACATTTTTTGGTTTTGATATTATTTATGAATGAAAACTGATTTTGAACATTTTGTATGTGGCGGCAGGGAACGGTTGGGCTTGGTTATCAAGTGGGAGAAGGGGTGATTTTTCAAGTGGTAAGTGGTGACTGCACTATCAATGTGACTAAATCCTCAGCCATTATGACCGGCACCACCCTTAATGGGATAAAACCAGTATATGTGCCAAACATACACTTCTCAAACATCGGTTCTACTAGTGTGATTTTATTACTAATAAATAGATTTTAGGAGAGCTAAATATAGCTAGCTAAGAAGCCAGACAGATGGAAAGTTTTAGTAAGACTTCTTTATAAGCCAGACTATAGTTTAGTAAGATGTATATCTTCTTAATTAATAACCATACATGATGCCTGTCTCTGAGTCCCCTAATTCCCCTGTGGAGTATAGGCCCTCAATCAGCATTTGCTGTTGTCTTTTATGGTACAGGGATCTGAACCTAGCCCTACCTTTAGGTGCCTTTTATGACATACTTGCCTGAGGGTTGTGGTACTGTTCTTTGCTCACTCTAAGGGCCCTGGTTGCACACAGGTAATGTTATCTATTGTATGACATGGACACAATTTCATCTTCCAATGAAAGCAGAAGACGAAGAACTCTTGAAAGGGCTGCTTGACAGGACAGGACAATCCTGTAAACCCAAGGAGTAGTGCTGATTTCAATGTTTTATTATATTGTGGATTTCGGGACCATTTTTTTTAAATTTGTATTTTTTAAAATATTCCATGCAGGACCACGATGAGCCTATTTTGACTCATTTACAAGATATCCAAGTTAAGGTTCACGACAAAGCCCCAGTTGTAAGTTAATGTTTGTTTTCTCAGATTTAATTAATAAATATGATACTGTGTAAAAAATGGTAATGCTGAGTGTTAAAAGTATTTAAAATAATATAATTAGCTTATTGAAGCCTGTTTTTCCTGAGCAGTTATTTTAGCGATGCTGTGGGGGTAAACCGGAGGTCAGTAGAGAAACAAGTTATATTTTGTAGTAAAGGATCAAAAGATTGTATAATTGTTAGCTAAACTGTAATGCCTTGGTGACAGCCAAAATAGATGTCTTTGAAATGTATAATAATCCAGTATAAGGCTGGATGGAAAATATTTCATACTTTTTTTTTAATAGAGAGGAAAAGATTCTCAGGGGTAATATTATCAATTCTGTTGTATGTATATGAACCGTGGACTTTTTATGTAGTTTTTTTTCAGACTTGGAGGGAAAATATACATTTTCCCCAGTGCATCTGTCTGAGAGTTTAGGTAACAGCAATTTGCATACAAATAATCCAGATCCGTAAAATGGATGTGCACGCATGCTCCTGGAACATTACCGGAACTGGGCAAAGAATCTGAAGTTTATAACTAAAACATCCCCTAAAAATGGCCACGGGCAGGAGTTTTTTTTTTTTTATTACAGTATATTATGTAGGAATTTAAACAAAATAGATAGATGAAAATACTGATTAATCTTTATTCTTTCAACAGGGCTTTTCATTAGAGTTCCACTTTGAGCCAAATGAGTACTTCACAGACACAGTACTTACCAAGCGCTATGAGATGCGCTATGAGCCAGATCCTGATGACCCATTATCATACGAAGGGCCAGAGATTGTGAAATGCGTTGGGTATGGTTATTTATATCTACACCACATGTTTAGAAATTTATATCATTTTTATATCGACAGAACTTGTTTGCTTGGTGGGCACAATTTTATCCTTAGTAATGATCAGTGGTTATAAGCACTAATGTCCAGATGAGCCTGGAAAGTTCTTGAGCAGTGTAGACAAAAGGTGAATCCACAGTAAGTGTGGGATTAGGGATAAAGTTCTTTTCTAGTCTGCCTCAATTTTGCCTGTGCCACCTCAGCTGCCTGGCAAGCTGATAAATAGTGTCTGAAGGATGTACGGTATCCAGAACGGCCCTGTGCAGCAGCCTCCTATGTTGTTGATGCCAAGAAATGAGAGCAGTTTTGAGTGTCCTAATAGTGCCATTTTTTAGGTCCTCCCTGGGACCTCTTCCTTGCCTTAAAATACTCTTGGGAGGCGATAGTCTGGCGTGCGGGCTAGAGGACCAGCCCAACGCAGCTAATTTTTCAGTATCATATGGGTGCTAGGCAGGTTTGCCCTATCAAGCACAACAGTATTTGGGATCCTTCTTCTTCGCCAATCTCTGATCATGCGCATAATCCACTGTGGGTCATAAACTGGGATGTCTTTTAGGTTTCCCCAAAGCTCAGTTGTCAGTTCTACTGGGTGTTGCCATATGTTGCTCCGCAGCTCCGGGGACAGTCTTGCAGGACATGTTCTGGAGTCTGTTCAGCACGAAGGCACTGGCAGAGAGCTGTTTGGCTCATACCTAATTTATATGAGTGTTTATTGAGTCTGCAGTGTCCAGTACGTAAGCGAAAAAACTGACTTGTTCTGTTCAGGTGTTTTAGAAAATCTTTTTCGTAGTTATAACCAGTGTTGGTTTTCCAATCTGTTTCTGATTTTCTTCTTATGAGAGTTTTAACTTCTTGAAAAGATAGCGGCTGGTAGGTCTCTGTTACTGCCTTCCTTGGCTAAAGCATCAGCGCTTTCATTGCCTTTGATGCCACAGCGAGATGGAATGCACTGCAAGTGAATTTCTGCCTTTTTGACATCATAGCAAGTTCCTTTGTTTGACTTTGTAGTGTGCTGTTGGTAGGTTTGGACTCAAGGGCCTGTAAAGCTGACGGTGAGTCAGTAAGAAAAACCATCCTGCCTGCGGTAATTTGCAGATTGTTTATCTTCTTCTTCTTCGCGTTCACCAGCTGTACACTCTGGCGGAAAGTTCTGGTTGTTCGTCCACTTTGGAACTGCAGTCTTGCTCCAGAACCTGAGTGTTGCGTGTTTATCAGTTTTACAGATCTGATTCATCTGAATGCAGACTGTTGGTTCCGTGGCTCTCAGGCAGATCCACTCCGACTTCAAAGGAACCTCCCCAGTTAGTCGACTCTTACGACATGCTTTTGGGGAGGCAGTGGGTCTATTCTTGTTTTTCCCACAATGGGGCCCCGGAACCCACACGGGGGGAGATTGTTTATATACTGTGCTGCCATCAAAAGGGCTGAGAGCTCTGCCTTGTAGTTAGAGCAAGTTTGTCCGATGGGGGCTGCCAGGGACACATCTGCCCCACCATTCATGGTTGCCTCTTTTGCTGATCCATCCGTGTAGATTCTCTCCAGCTGTTCTGTGGGAACGTTAAGGTAATCCATTGTGAGTGCTTTCTTTACTAAAGTGATTTGTGATTCAGTATCAGCTGTTTAGCATGGCCACATTTCACAAGCGTAGAGCAGTACTGGAAGAATTGCAGCTTTGTAAACCTTTAGCTTGATATAAAGTGCTGAAACTGCTGCTGGCATTTGAGATTTTAGTGTTGGTCTTAATGTTGAGAAGATGGGTACTACCTTTGTTACCTAAATTGCCTAATGTACATTACCGTTTTCTGCATAGCCCATATTCTGACTATGAATGTATTTAATGTACTGATTGCTTACTGCCATTATTTCAACAGCTGCACTATCAACTGGAACAAAGGAAAAAATGTGACTGTGAAACAGATTAAAAAGAAGCAGAAACATAAAGGCCGTGGTTTGACTAGGACAGTGACTAAGCAAGTTCAGGCTGATTCATTCTTCAATTTCTTCAACCCTCCTGCAGGTCAGTCATTTGAATGACAGTATAGAATATGTTCATGATTGACGTGAAGCTAAGGTCCCTAAAAAATAAGTACAGTAGACTGCAATATCTAGCCTGATGTGGTGAAAGGGTGTGCTGAATATTGTTCCAAATATATATATACTCTTACCCCACCCATGAAAAAACTTGTTTGTGCCGAAATTTTTTCTTTTTTTTTATATTTTCCGACTTCTTAGTACAGGACGATGCTTTGTTTTTACGTATAGCACTGAACATTTTAAACATTATTATAACATTAGTTTGGAGCATGAAAGCGGATACAGAACAGCAGTCTATTCAGTATGTACAGGGCACAGTCAACGCAGGCGGGGCTTTGGTCAGTTTGAAACTTCTTAACACATCGTTGCTTGGACCTGAAAGAGTTAATACAGACATTTAAACTAAACAGGACTTATGTCAAAATAATCACGATCCAGATAATTGAAAGTTCCACTGTTCTAGGTAGCTAGATGATTTAAACAATCTCCCCAAAGTAGGTCACATTCCATTGATACATTTGTTAGAGGTTATTAGTGTTCTTCTCTGTTTGCTTTCTGGGATGTCTTTACATTTATTCTAAGAAAGAGAATGCCTGTGACATTCTAAAAAGGTAAAAGCGCTGGCTAAAGAAACCAGAATATCCCCTTCCAAGGTGACGTGGCTCAAGGTCCACTAATTAGAAGTGAGTGAGGCTGAGGGTAGACTGAGAAGTGTGGTAGTGTAAAGGTAAAGTCGGGATATGTGAACCATTGTCATTGCACACGGTTATAAACCATTAATACTCTGCCACCAGTAGGGACAGCTTTGTCATGTTTTGTTAAATAATGCTTTGCTTAAAAAGTGTACCCCACATTTGCTAGAAGTTTTTTTTTACTGACATAATTGAATAGCGTACTGTTGAGAGGACAGCCACATATGAAACTTACGTCATGACAAGGAAGAATATAAATGGTTAAATAGCATGCTGCTAATTAGAGGTTGGTGGATACAAGAATGATCGACGATTTTCCATGCCAAATGTCTTTGAAGGATAAATGCTTCAAATAATGATTTCCTTTAAAAAATTGCTGAAAATATTTAAATTAATTAAGAAAGGTTCTGGCACCTGATGTTTCATTGACTTCTTCTTCTCTTCTTCTTCCTCTTTTACCGCTGTGGGTGTCGAGGGAGATATAAGGTTCTGTTTCTAGCTCTTCTGGCTGCCTCGACCATAGGCACATCGTGCTGTTGTAGGGTTTCTCTGATGTTATCCTTCCATCTTGTTCTTGGTCTACCCCGTGCTGTTCGTCCTTCTTCTCTTTCCATGTATGCTTTGTATGGTATGGTGTCACAAGGCATTCTCTCTAAGTGGGCAAACCATTTCACTTGCTGTCTTTGTATGTAATCCAGAATTGGTTCTGTGCCGACTTGTTCTCTTATGATCTCATTCCTGATCTTAACTCTTAGGTCACTCATTGACTTCATTGACTTGAAATGTTTTTTTTCTAATTTAAAAAATCAGTTGAATTTTATATAAAAATTTTAATTAAATACTGTTAATCATCAGCAAAAGCAAATACAAATCTCCCTTTTATAATGACTTGCTTAAATTTTTTCTTTTACAGTGCCAGAAGAGTCTGAATCTGAAGTAGTAAGTATGTTTTTTTTCTTCTTCTTTTGTCAAAATCTGCTTGTGCCGCTAGGCGTCGCAGTCTATCAGATGATCGGCAACCGAGCCAGGGCGCGCTCAGTCGCTTCATATTATGAAGTCTCAAGTTGTCCGTGACTTCTTCAATCCATCTTCTTCTTGGTCTTCCCCTGCCTCTTGTTTCGATTTTCATGTTGTTTGCTCTTGATGCTGGCATCGTTGGTTCCATTCTCATTAGGTTTTTTTTAACATTAGTATTTGTTTCATTAAAAAAGCCTAGAACCTGTTTAAAAGTATTTTGTTAACATTAAAAAGTTTTTTAAGCTTTTTAAAATATTTGTTGCATTGAAAGAGTTTAGAATCTACTGCTTTGCTATTGATTAAAAAAAATTAATCCTGCTGGGTTCTAAAACATGCAAGTCATGAGATGATTCATCTAATGGGCTTAGGTTGGTCTTGCTGACATGTTGTAATGCAGCTAAGCAAAATTGGCCATAAATCCAGATCACAGGAACTACACTGCATGGCAGACAAAGACCTCAAGCTTACCATCATGTCTGTGGCCGATAGAACCTTGTGGACATGCACATAATTTGCACAGGAAATATTTCTGAAGAATTCTAGGAATGTTAGTGTACTGAACATTGTTTACTGAATCAGCGAAATACTGTATTAATAAAGGATTTGTTGTGGCCGTCTGTTATACATTCAGTACAACGTTGCTGAAATAATAATCATTGCACTAGGGAAGGGTCTTTCGGCTAAGTTTACGTAGTGGCCTGAGCCCAGTCTAGAAGGATCAGTACAGTACAATTACAGTTAAACAATCCTGCACTATGGCATTGTCTAGAGGATAGTTGCCATTTGCTGTCAAACTGTCTGATCAGCTTCCTCAACCTTTGACAGTCAGATGCAGTGAACTTCATGGTTGCATGCCTAAGGTCTGTCAGTTAACATTATTGCCTTTTGTATCTTTTGACTAGTTAAGAGGTGTTGCCAATGGGCTGGATAATTATCTAGCAAACCTCATCATTTGTGCTGAGGTCTGTATGATATGCCAAGAATTTTTCTGAAAGACTGTTTCCAATGCTTGTATCTTCTTTTAGAGTTCGGCTGTTTGTTTTTATTACATTATATTTTTTATTTGTTTTGGTTGAGGGGGCAAGTTGACAATTTGAATGCATAGTGAGAAGTCTTTAACAGAGAATGTAATCACAGGATGAGGAGATCGAGGGTCTGCTGGGAGCTGATTTTGAGATTGGACATTACATCAGAGAGAGGATAGTGCCCAGGGCTGTTCTGTATTTCACCGGAGAGGCTCTTGAAAATGATGATGTGAGTTTTTCTAACATTGTAGCTGTCATTTTGTTGTTGTTGTTGGTCAGAATGTCTGGGCATTAAATTGTGGTGTTTAGATAGGGTGAGCTCATATTTTTTTTTTTTAAATTACATTATGAATAAAACCATAGATTGACTAGAATAGGCTGACCCATTCTTGATCACCTTAACCTGATTGCATATGGGTTTAGGCCATTTGTTTGCAAGGACTTCTAAATGCTTTTTTTTTTTTAGCTGACATTAATTTCTGGTGCTTTAGAACATTTGCCTAAGCTATTTTTGTGAACTAACCACTGTAACAAGGTGGTAAAAGCTAGTCCCAAGGGAAATTTTCCCGGCTTTTCAGGATGGAGGTTAAAGTGCACACCCAGCAAATAATTTCTTATTTATACTTACAGATTTGTGCATTTAATATATATATATATACATATATATATTTATATTATAATTTATCTCTAGTATATTGAGCAGTGACTTGAAATTGTTTAAAATAGTTTTAACAGACCGAGTGTTGAGGACTAGCACAAGTGCTCCTTTCTTCTAACTCAAGTCTGAATCCGAAGCAGTGTTCAGCGCAGTGCACAGGCTCTGTAGCACCAGCGAGGATCCTGAAATACTTTAGGTTTATTTTTTAACTCAAAATTGTGCCCGGGCAGCACCGTTTGGATTTCCAACTGCCAAGGTACTTCGTGCGCAACAATGCAAACCGAGCGTCAGATTTCACTACCCAGAGACCCGGGGGAATTACTAGAAGTCCAGGTCAAGGTAAAAAATCCCAGCACTTGCATGGGATTGAGCCTGGAACCTTAAATCTTGAGACCATGCAGCCCCCTGATGATGGTTCAGAGGGAGAAAATATAGCCTGAAAATGGGGAATGTTTTTGTGTGTGTTTTGTTACTGTATTATTTGTTGATTAACCCGAGGATATACCTGTTATTTTGCTTGTTATTCAGCACAGTTTAAAAGGATCTTTGTATTAACTTTTCATTTCTTGTTTTTTCCAGTATGATGACGATGAAAATGAGGAAGTAAGTATTGTTCAGCTTTAGCATTTCTCCGTATTATTATAGTAGCAGTGTGAGTAGTTGGGAAAACTAGGAATATCACTGCTGGTAGATTTGAAAGCCACCAGCACATTCTAGTGATAGAGTTGGCCAGTTTAGCCACAGTGCAGTGATCAAATTGTTAACTAGTTATTCTTAGAAAAATAAAAAGCAAAAGGAGCTTTCATCACCAATAGGGAAATTGTGGTCAAAAGAAATTACAACTATTACAAAACTAAAAATTGTTGGTTCTAATGTCAGGACAGTGCTAGTGTATGGAGCAGAAACAGGGAGATAGGCTGATGCAGTTTATAAACTACAGACATTAATTAGCTAGTGCGTGCGCTGAATAAAGGGAATCAAATTGTGTGTCACTAATGTAGAGCTCTTGAAAGTGAAAAGGGGGGGGGGGGCGGCTGGCAACGCGTTGAGAAAACCTGAGAACAGTATAACTAATGCATGTGGAGAAGGGAGCTAGAGGGAAGTAAAGGGACCTGTGAAGAGCTGTGAGGGATAGAACAACTTGGCGTTCACTTGGTTGATGGCCTATGCTCCATTGGGGGTTGGAAAGGCACGAGTAAGGCTTGTCAGTCTATATCCTTGCTTGAAGAGCAGAGGCTGTCTGTTGCGTTTGCATGTCAGATTGAACGCTGAACAAATTGTTTTGCCTTAAAAATTTTTAATAGTTTAAAATATGCTTATCGTATTTTGTATTTGTTTCATTTAACAGAGCTCCAGCCCTGTGAGACCCACTTTTTAATATTCCTCTTTTGCATATGTGTTTGATCTCGGGTGCCACGGCTATTTTATATAATTTTATCAGTTTATAATGAAATAAATGGTTAATTTCTCTATTAGCAAATGTTTTACTGCATTATCTCTCAAGTTCCGTTTCATTTTCCACATTTCAGTTATAAATTATCTGTTAAATACGTTTTGTAAATGTATCAGCCCTTCTCAGTATTATATTTGTGGAAGTATTTCTTGTAAAATATTAAAACAGGATTTTTTTGTGTTTCATGCCATTTGTATATAGTCATAGTATCAGATGCCAACTCTTTACCTAGTCCGTGACCAATGTTTTTGCAGACCTGTTCAAAACCTTTAAAAATCTTGTTGTGAACAGTACTACTGAACCTTTGTTTCCATGTGTTTTTTTTGGGGGGAAGAATCCAGAAACCATGAGTTGTTAACTGTTTAGCTAGGTATTATGGATATAGCAACCCTTTGGCCTTGATTCCATGATAGATATCGTAAATCTGGGAGGAATGTAGCTTTTCTGCCCACCCCCGGGCTACAACCCGGACCACAAGGAGTACGACACACGGTCGCCGCTCAGTCCGATTTAGCTAGCGTGCTATGCAGTTTCCATGTTTAAGAAGGGCTGATGTTACACAGTACAGATTTGTTCAAATCATTTTTGTTCAAATATTTCCAGATTTAATATTCAGGTCAATTGTGTTAAAATTAATAGTTGTGAAGGTTAAATCATTTGGTCATTTCCTAGAGAGAAAAAAGTAAGCAGGAGATGACTGCAATGAAATATTTATTATTATATTTTTATTACTTTAGTTTGTTAGTTTAAAATGTCATTTACTTCCTTCTTAGTAGTTTTCCACCTTTTTTAAGTTGCCACATTTTGATTGGCTTTGGGATTTTACACATTATTTCTGTAAAAAAAAAATTCTGAGGGTTTGTTGTAATTATGTACTTATTTTAAAATATTTTGTTAGATCTTTCTCAAGATGTCTTATTAAAACAGTTGCCTGGAGCAGTAGTGTTATTTAATAAAAAAAAAACGGGTTTAAACATGGCTGTACTAAGGCAATACACTGCTATACTAAATAGTAGTTTCATAGTTTTACAGTTGACGACATATTTCTAAGCTCAGATAATAAACCTGAAAGGGTGTGGGAAGTTTCTTTAATTGCACTAAAATCGAGGTACATATCAGAGCCCATGAAACAGCCATAACCACTATGCATGTAGATCTGGCAGTTCACACTGATTAGTAAATCATGCTTTGCTTTGGGAAATAGATCTAGTAAATTGTTATTGCATTAATGGAATGACTAAGTTGTAGTAAGGATTACTTCCTTCCTACACACCCCCCCCCCCCCCCCCTGTTCAGGATACAATTTTTTTTAATTTTAATTTTTATGGTAATATGTACTAGTTTTTAGTACTAGTTTAATATAGTTTGGTTTATATTTTAGTGCTATATTGTAGTTTAAAAAATTTATATTCTTTGATTTTGAAGGGTGAAGATGAGGAGTATGATGAAGAGAATGACCCTGATTTCAGACCTGAGGTAAGTTGTTTTTCTTCAATTTTGGTACACCATTGACTGTTTTACATAACCAAAGTAGGGCAAGTAAATGTATTTTTTTTCTCTTGCTTTGAGACAAACCAAAGTATGAACGCTTCACATTTGTGACAGTTTCTTGCAAAAGTGGCTGGCTTTGCTAATTTTTCAGTGCTTTTTTTTTTCCCTGGGGGGAAACCAGCACTCTAAAAGTGAACCAATGGCACAGTTGTAGGTCATGTAGTATTCTGCTTTATCCCATGGTATGTTTGAGCTGATGATGTTAATAACCAAGGCTGTGACAGGTACGTTTGAAAATGGGATAGCTTTTATGACAAACACGATTACTAATATTTTGAAAATACTCATATTTTTAAACTATCTGGGTTCTTTTTAAATGTTATGGTCGAAGGAATAAATACATCTGTATATATAAACTTAAAAATTTAAAGCCCATAACTTTTTTTATGGGCACGCTCGCACACAACACACAAATAAATCTAAAATGGCTATTTTCGTCAATTGTTTATGGCCACTGCACATGTAAAGTAAAACCTTTGCAATATACCTGAAATTATGTAGTTGCAAAATTAGCACTTTGCTGTCCAATCTTTTTCCCTCTCAAAGCTAAATAGGCCAGTTCAGAACAGCTTTATCTAAATTGTATATTTTGCAGAGAAAAGCAACTTTTTAAAATTGGTTTGGCTACATTATCTTTCTTTAGAGGTATTTAATTGGCCAGTTTTTTGGCCAGAAATTACTGTACTTTGTTATAAGACAGGTACCAACTGGGCATATCGGGTTAGAACTTTAGTAGATGAAGGAAAAGGGTAACTGTAAAACTATTTTCTAGGCTGTGCAGAAATTTGGAAATAATTTTTGAACAGACTGTTCAACAGATGTGTACATTAGAAATGTTTATGCTTTAAAAAGTTGTGTATACTTTTTTTTTTTTTTTTACGTATCCAGAAACCATGAGTTGTAAACCCTTTGGCTCGGTACTATGGATATCGCAACCCTTCGGCCTTGATTCCATTATAGGTACCGTTAATCTGGGAGAAATGTGGCTTTTCTGCCTAACCCCGGGAGTGAACCCGGACCACAAGGAGTTCGTCACCCGGCCGCCGCGAAAGTCAGGTTTAACCAACTTCGCTAGAGAGCCGGGCCTGTGTATCCTTTACAGGATGTTGCAGAACTAACCTTAGCATATTCTTTCAGGGGGGGGGGGGCGGGGCTGTTGTGGTTTCTCTAGGCAAATTTTACCATCAGTAGTTTGCCATTTCTTTCTAAGTGGTCAACTCTCGATATCATAACGAAACACCTAGGTCACAGACAGTGATGAATATGCGTTTAAAGAAATAGTATCACAATTGTATCAGGTCATGCGATACAGGACACCTTTTTTTAGACCAATCAGCACTCAGTGTAGCCACCACCCCCCCCCCCCCCCCCCCCCCCCACCCGGCCACATTTTCCCCGAGATACTACCTGGGTACCTATTTTGACCTGGGCCAAGAACAGTTCTGAAAAATACCAAAATATTTTGGCTAGCAGGCAAGCATTTTTTCCACCTGGGCTGCTGTATCTGCATTGCATGATTTAATTATATAGATTTGAACTGACTCATTCAGCCATCTGAGCCACGTTGTTTAAAAAGAAATATTAGCTTACAGGGAGAGTCATCTGCACCTTTAATTAATTCTCTGTAGGCCGTGTGCTGCATTTGTGATTTTGAAATAATTTTTTTGTTTTATTTTAGGCACCCAACTAGTTGGTCAGGAGAAGCTAATTTAGGAGATTGTCGGTATGCTAATCACCCTTGGTGACTAGCCACTAATCTTAGTTGTTTTGTTTGTAGTGCGACACTTGCATGCACATTATTTTTTTGCTGGGTTGTTTTTCGCTCACCCCTCACATATTTCAGTTTTGTTTAACCCTTTGAATCCAGCTAACAAAGACGCAGCAGAGGTTTCTTTTAACTCAGCTCTTGCTGTTGGGGAAAGGGGAATCCTCCTATAACTCATATCTTGGTTGTACATACTGCCATTCAACAGATAAAATCTGAGACAGGCGATGTAAAATTCAATTTAAAAGTCTTTTGTGAGGTTAGTTCCTGCCCAGATAAGATGTGCTTTATGAAAAGTATTAATCTTATTTTATTGCGCAATATTGCTTTGAGACCTTATTTCGATAACTACTGAAGTGATGATTGGAGAGATATTTCTTATCTCTTTGCCAATAAAATTGAGATGTATTTGTTTACCGACCTTTACCGACTCAAAGCTTAAAATATTGATCATGCTTTTAATTGTGGTTCAGTCTTTTGGGATATAGCTTGGAACTTTGCTGCACATGTACCAGATTTATGGTGGTCACTGATCAGTTTTTGCTACTGGAAAAATTTAGGTTCATTTTTGTTCACTCTTGCAGGCGCTAAAAATGTTATTCAGGAAAGTCATTCATTAATAGCGATTACAGAGTATCCAGCACTATTTTTTTTATAAAATGTTGCAAGCGCTAAACGTTTTTCAGGAAAGTCATTCATTAAAGAAATTACAGTGTATCCAGCACTATTCTTATGAAATGTTGCAAGCGCTAGTAAATAGATGGTTTTTCAGGAAAGTCATTTGTTAAAAAGCGATTTACAGTGTATCCAGCACTATTCTTATGAAATGATGCAAGCGCTAGTATTTAGATGGTTTTTCAGGAAAGTCATTTGTTAAAAAGCGATTTACAGTAACAAAAATCTGATAAATTGGTCTTATGATTAGACAGTAGCAATAATGTTTTTGAACAAATAATTTTTAATAGTTTATATGGTAATAGTACAGATGCTTAAATTGTCTCGAGGTATCTGAAGGCAAGAGGGTTAGGATTCAAAGGGTTAAAGGAATGTGTTAAATATAACTAAAATGTTGCAATGCATTTGATTTATTACAAGCAAGGGTCGTTTTAAGGTATGATCTACTGACTCTGGGGCTGCTCGTGAAGTTATTCTGTAGTCACCTTTTAATTTAAATGCCCTTTCCTGCCACTCGTGGCATTTCAGTTTATGTAGTGGGGATCTTGGTGTTTAAATCTAAAATATGTACATTTCTACTATATATTTTAGTTATGGCAGGGACAATAATCCACTTTAAGTTATTTCATAACATGCTGTATTTAAAAATTGAGTTCTTTCCTAATATCCAACTCCAAACGGGAAATCCACTGGTCACGGGACAGTTTTAATAGGAAGTCTGCCTGCAATTGACCTAGGCTGCACTTTCTCTTGGGGCGTAGGTGGGTTGGGGTTAGGGCCAGATTTAGATGTTTTGGGGTTGTTAAAGGCATCAGAAAGCTGGGAAACCCAGTCTTACAACTCTCTAAAATGTTGGACTGTCCTGTGATGTCATCTGGGTTAGAATATTTCATAAGATCTAAAAATTGAACTTTAAAATAGTAACATTGGTATTTAGTCTCAGATCTGCAGACTGCTTTCTTAGCATCCCTAAGGGATGGAGCCCGTAATGAGTGGAAGGTTAAACATACAGATGTGAGGTTAAGCTGTTATACTCAGGACCTGATGATTCCTTGGGTTAGCCCATTACCAAAGCACCATGTATTTGCTTTACAGTAATAGAAGCCTTCCTTGGATTGAGGGCAATCACCATGTTCTGCCCTAGCTTTCCCTTGAGGGTCGACCAGTCCCTCACATGATCACATGAGTCTACAGCTGTCCCACACAGCACAACACATTAACGCCGTTAGGATGAATACATTTTTCTTGTACTCTGTATTCCCACCTAGCCGTCCTAAAACATTTCAGCAGGAGTCGCAGTATTGCACTTGCTAGAGACTATCCTGCTGGGCCTGAAGTTTTTTCGTTCTGAATATATTGTCAGGTTTCTGAATTTGACCTAGGCCTCTTATGTAGACCGTGCTTAAGAATGCTTGCTAGGAAATGTCCTGGGAAGTAAATGGAGGCTGGATAGACATAACTTGATCAGGGTGCTCTTTTTAACTCTGCTGTTAAACTTTCCTCATTGTTTAGATAACTAGTTTTTCTTCTTATGTCTTATAGTGTCTATATAGGGCTATATTTGTTACTGCCTTCAAACTAACCACTTAGGGTAGGAGTTAGCTGCTTAGGATTGAAAGTTAAAAAATATCTCAAGCATGTGCTCAGTGAGCCAGCCAATGGTGTAAATTTTTTGTAATAGAATAGCACTTAGCTATTTTCTAAATTGTAAGTGTGAAGATAATGATTATTTGCATGCCCGTATCCATTTGCTTCAGTGCCTTGTATAAATAAACAAGTGCTTACACTCTTCTGGAGATCCGTTTCTGATGTGCAGCCTCCTATGGTATATATTACATTCACATGGCTAGTTTCCCTAGAAATAAGCTGTATCGACCAGCATGGACTGGATAACTGAGCTTAAATACGCTTCTGTTTGCCAGAGGGTTTTCCAGACTTATGTATCAGCAGTTTTATTTTTGCTCCCTCCATGCCAGTTTATCACCAATAATCTGTCTGTTTTTCTCTCTGTGGCAACATGTAATCATAGTTTAAGGCCGACAGGTGATTGGCCTCTTGTGCCTTTGCACTGTGTAGAGTCGGCCTCCATGCAGACTGATTCACGGTTAACCCATTACTTCTGGAGACCCGGGAAGCCCTTAACTTAAGCCAGACCCTCCTCCTTTTTTAGCAGGGCTTGTGGAATATTCCTCTTCTGTCTTAGCGGAGTTCGCGCCTTTATAGACGGTAATATTTTCATTTTTTTTTTGCTGTCCTTCACACTGTATTTTAGTATATTTCTTTTAGATTCATGTTTATGATTTTCACTAATTACTAAAATTGTATTTTCGTTCAAACTAAACATATTTACATACATTATGCACAGCCACACTACTTTCCATTCCTTTTGAGTTGAGGTTTGTTTTACTAATACAGCATTGTAAAGTTTTCTTGTGTGGGATATACATTTACTTTCTTAGAAAATAATTTATATTGTATATATCAGGGAAAAGGGGAGCCAGGGGGGTTGTGCAACATAAAATATGTTTTTTTTAACTGGGCAAGCAATACTATGTGCTGTTAGAACTACTTTAAAGACAAACACTAAATGGATACTTATAATTACTAGTAAACTATTTTTTCTTCAGTTAGTAAGACTTTGTATGACTGACCTTAAACCGACATTTGTGGTACTGTAGCCTTTGCAAAAAGTGTTTTGCTTCCTGTCAGGTGTGATTTCTGTGTGTATTCATTTGTGGTGAAGTTTAGTATTTATGAATGTTGTATACCTGCCATATTTGCCAGTTAGCTAACAACCAAGGAATTTTTTGTGTGTGGATCAGTTATCTTTACTGCCAGCTTGTACTTATTTTCTTGGTAGGGAGGGAGTTTGGGGCTGCATGGCTAGTGCTGTTACTGCAGATTAAGATTTTATTGTTGCCCCTGATAGAAAAAGCTAAGACCTCAACGCAGATTTTAACCTGGCTCCCTCAGAAAGCCCAGCTGCTCTGCTTTTGCATGACCTGCATAGTTAAGGGAAATTGTCAGTGGCAGTGCATCACATTTACAAATAAAATGCCGCAGCTTATTTCTAGATCACAGGGTGTGCGTGTGTAAATAAGCACTTCAATTTTTCATAGAATTGCAAGTTTGTTATGCTTTTTGTGACTGAGTCACAAAAATTTGTTCCCCTTGTGACAGCAGAGATCTTTGACCTTCTTGTTTTGTTGTATGTATTGTCTGTGCGGATGTATGTATGCATTGTAATAAATAGCAGACAGTAGTCTATAAAAGGAGGGCATGTTTACTAGCATGTTGATTTTTGCTGAGTGGTCTGAAATATTCCTATTTAATCCTGTTTGCCTGGTATCTTGAAAAGTCAGCACTCTTGTTTACAGTAGAGCCTTTCCATTTGTAAATAATTATGCTTCAGACATATTTTCTATTGACATATTAATCTGTCTCGGACGATTCTCTTTTAAAAAGATATTTACTTCACTGGCATCGAACAATTTATTTTAGTAATGTCTACTAATTGTTTACTGGGATATTAAATTCTTTACTGACGCATCAGATTCTTTGTCAACATAAATTCTTCACTGGCTTATTAAATTCACTAACATTTTAAATTCTCCCCTGACATCACATCCTCACTGACGCCACATTCTCCACCGAAATCACATTCTACACTGACGTCACATTCTCCACTGACGTCACATTCTCCACTGACGTCACATCCTCACTGAAACCACATTCTACACTGAAACCACATTCTACACTGACGCCACATTCTCCACTGATGTCACCTTCTTGACTGAAACCACATTCTCCACTGGTGTCACAATCTCCACTGACGTCACATTCTGCTGTAACATCAATCTTGACATGTAACATCAGTCTTGACATTTGTCTGTTGGTTAGGTTAGCACCTTGGGTAGTTTCGTTGAACACTCCCATGATCTTAGTGATGTCAGCTGCAGACATGCCAGCTTACAGGGGATGCCCCCTCTCCCCACCAAATTGACTCAGAATTGTGGCATACATGCATGTCAGCCTGGAGCAGTAGTTGGAGACTGATTGCATTTCCAGCCATCCAAAGTCTTAGTTGCCTGTTCAGACAGTTATAAGAAATGCTTGAAACTGTTTAATGGAATGACAAGTCTCAAGCTAAAAATTACAGATTGAAATAAAATCTAGAAAAATTAGTGTCCTTGCGCTAAGAGATCCCACGGTCAAAAGAATACAGGCAGACTGAAAGTACGTTAAGGGAAAAGTGGTGTTAAAGACCATACAAATTAAAAGGTTTGGATGAATTGCCTTATGTTGGTTGAGGGCCCATGTTCAAATGGGGAATAAAGCACATTGGGGGGGGGGGGGGGGGGGGGGGAAGATTTGAAAGGGAATGTTAGCAGATGTTTTTTTGTCCTTCAGTGAGGCTTCTTTGCGTGAATATATGTACCTGAACTTTGTGAAGATGGGTATGGTTAGGTATATTTTCAGGGCCATATGTGTTTCATGTAATTGTTGAATATAATTTTGTGCCTTTTAATGTTTCTGCTTTTTGTGGCTATATATGGTGGTTTTCTATGGTTGTTACAGCATACTAGATATGTTTGTAGGAGTACACCAAAATGTATCTTATGCCTCTTCTCCCACATTTTCTGACACTCAGAATTCATTTTCAAATGTTTAGTCATTCACAGTTCACATTTTCCCCCTATAGAGTATCTCTATTGTGAATTGGTTAAGCTGTTTGCCTAACACTGGTATTTTATGTTTGACTTCAAGGCTTTGTCCTTTAGTTTACAGGTGAGTTTTTTTTTAGAGAGCTAGGGTTTACAAGTGGAAGTGTTTTTAGAGAGCTGGGGTTATATTTAGAGCTGTAGAAACTTTGTGCAACAGATATGCTGGCAGCCAGTGTCAAGCTTTACAGCCACTTTCACTCATCCACGTCTATGTGAGGTCTAATTTGAAATGCTTTCAACTAGTTTACCTTGTCTCAGAGACCAGAAGTATTTTTGTTTGCGGCTTACCTTTTTACTCAGGTGTTTGGGATGCATTTATTTTTGGTATGCAAATTTATTTATGCAAATTATAAGTAGAAATCAAAATGTGAGGGATGTAACAAGGCTTAACATGCAATTATTACTAAGTGACCCAGCAAATTATAGATATTTGGAAGTTGGTGTGGATTTATAGGCAGAGGGGCCAATTTCAAAGCTCTCTTCCTGCCCTGACACTGAAGGGTTCCAGGAATAGAGAAAAGAAAGGAGAGATGATATAGATTGATAGTTTTGCCCACTCAGAAAAAAGCCTTTCCTAGATCCTCTCAAATCGGTATTTTCATAGAAGTTATTTGGTGTGTTAACCAATAAATCTTTTCTTTCTTGTTGCAGGGTCAAGACAAGCCTACTGAATGCAAACAGCAATAGATTATTTCCTTAAGTTTTCACAACTCGTCACGATCATTGTCAGGAATACAAGTGCTCCACTCTGAATCAACTTCATTATTTTGAATAAGAAAAAAAAATCTCTATCGTGTTAGTGGTGCATTTTGCTGTAATGTTTGTGTATTGTGATGTTTGTTTAATAAATGCAGTGCAACTGTATGAAATCAGATTAAGATTGGCTTGCTATTTGTCTCAGTGCTACTGAAAATTAACACACCATTTGTTTTTTCTGTATTTATGCCATTATTTTTTGTACCACAGCCTTCATAGTCTATTCTCATTTGAAAACCACAAGCAGAAAATAAAAAGATGTCTCCCCACCTCAAGCATAGAAAAGAGCTGTGCTTTCATTAGCCATTGTCGAAAGATAAAATATATGATATATAGACAAATAATACTGAAATTCTCGACAGCACTTGGTCGCAGCTTGGACGGTTAAAAAACACTTTTGTCCATTGTAATCAAAAGATGCGAAGCAGGATTGTAAGCAAGGGCACTACGTATAGCAGCACCCAATAATTAAACAAGCTGCACAGTTTCCTACCCCGAAAAACTTTGGGAGTGTTGCACCGTGGGAGGAATAATATGAGGCGATGTCAGGAAGCAGGGGCCGACTAACATGAAGGTGAGAACGGGAAATAAACTTCTTGAATATGAAGGGACATTAGGTGGGAGAGCTGGCAAGAGGCAGTTTTTTCCCCCCCAGGCGGATAGTGTTGAGAGCAACGTTCTGCAAAGTACCTGCTACATGAAGATAAGTCATGTCTTTAGTCGCTGTAGGTATCCAGTCACCGTAGCTAGTTGAAATAATCAGGGAACATCTTGACCATTTATAGTAACATCTGGGGTGTGTCTTTTCACCACTTCTGTTTATCACCTACATTGACAGTATAAGCAAGGATACCAGGAACGAAAATTCAATGATGGACCAGGCCTTGATTGCACACACAGCCATGAACTTGCAAAAGCAGCTCACATTCATGAATAAAGGTTCAAATCAAGTAACAGTAAATTAGTAATGGCAATAGGAAGAAACAGGATTTAAACAAAGCATTAGAGCAAAAAATATTAAACAAGCGAATGAGTTTAAATATCTTGGAACATTCACTGAAGATGGTAAAGAAATTTGCATCCGATTCTGTAAAGCAGGCCTTGGCCTTGGGGACAGCTAGCGCCTCTCTTACAGCATAAGGCAATCCAAATCAGCACAAAGAAGCATATTCATTCCCACCTTATGCCACCAGTGACATACGTGATCACAACAAAACAAGAAAATTAAGCATGGCAATAAGGTGTCTGGGAAAGGCTGTAGGAGTGACCAGAAGAGATAAGTTCAGGAATGAGATCATACAAAGACTGCAAATCAAACGGGTTGATCACTTGGAGAGTGCCTTCTGATGCTATGCCATCCAAATGAGGATGTTGAATTAAGAATTGACAACACAGCACTTGTGATATTTCCTTAACTGCTCCGTACTCATTGTCAGCAGCAAGCGAAGAATTCCGATGGTACCAGTAACTGATTGTATATCCGTCTCATCCCTTCTCTGAGTGTTGTAATGATCTATCCGTGCCTCCACACTATTTACTCGCTCCCAAAGGGACCTCACAATATCTTAACTTCTCATACATCAATTTTTTTACCAAGTGGTGCAGAGCCAGCCAATTTTTTTGCCTGCTCATTTCCCAACACACCGACATAACCTGGAGAAAATATCCAAAGGAAGATAACTATTCTGGACCTCTGAAATGATGCTTGCCAAACTGCACGAAGCATGCCTGTTTGCATATTCTCAACATGCTCTGTGAGTCGGTTACAATCACGGCATGTGTGTACAGTACAGCTGATTCTCAAGAAAGATAACATCAGAGAAGAGACAGCATTACCACTATTATTGCCTTTCAGACCACAGCGACCTGGAATCCACTGCACGAAAAATTTCTCTACGGAAGAGCCTATGTGAACCAATGTTAAATCTACAAACCGCTTGTCTTTTGAATTATGTTGCACATAGAACTTGCTTATTTTCAGCCAGAAAGACTACTACATTTGCTGAGCAGTGTATTCAGGAAGTTTCAGCTGATCTCTTTTTGTGAACTTGTCAATGATTATAGCCATACAAGAATCTGCTGCCTGTGATTGTGGAGCAGAAAGACAGTCCCTGAGCACATACTGCAGTACTGCCCTAACCTCTCCCAGCAAAGACTGGATCTGGCCCAAGGGAGCCACATTGCAAGAGAAGCTATGGGAGAAAGGTGGCGATCTTAAACGCACAATCCTATTTGTGACCCAAACGGGACTCAATGTTTTGCATGACTGATGTCATACGCAGAAGTAGAAGAAGAAATCAATGATTAGGAGCCTTATAAAGCAATGATTTGTAATCCACTGGAAGGGCGGTGTATCGCATAGCCGGAAACTGGATGGGATGACAAAGGTAACGTCAAAATCCACTTACGTCGACCAGCTAGAGTGCATGGTGCGACACTGAGCTGGGAATTTCTGTGCTCCTGGAAATATGTTGTAAATCTGTGTGCGTCGATTCCCTGGCCCCATTGTGAGGAAAATACACACTGCCTTCGCTACAATCATCGTAGTTAGGACTCTACCGGGGAAAAAGGGGGGAGGGGAGAGGCTCCGTCGAAGTACATCTGCCAAAGAGGCAAGGAACCAAAAGTTTGCAGCCAGATTTGTGAAACTGATGTGCAGGCTCTAGAGGCGGACGAACACCCATAACTTTCTGCTGGAATTTACAGCTGGTAAACACCAAGAAGTGTGAAATGTAATTTCAGAAAATTGCTGGTTGCCACAGGATTAGCCATGAAGATCTCTTGTTTTTTCTACAGATCAACACACGGCACACAGGTGTAACACATTAAGTGCTCTGTTCTACTTCTAATTTAAGCCTGAGTCTGAAGAATCTAGCGAATATCCTGAAATATTTTGCCCGTTCGTCGGCTCTGTGGCCAAGTCGATGCGAACGCTTCATAATGCCGGGGTACTGGGTTCGATCCCAGCTGCGGGTCATACGCCTTGTGTAGGTTTCGACAGTGGTATCAGGGAGCTGACCGTCCAGAAAGCAATGGCAAACTACTGGATGTAAATTAGCCTAGTGAAAACACACAACAACTAGGGGCTGATGGGGTATATATGCAACGTCCTGTAAAGGATACGCAACTAACCATCGCCGCTCGGCTACTCTTTTCGTTCGATTTCCAAATGCCAAGGAAATTTTTTTTTTTAAACGTGCACACGAATACACCCGGGTGTCCGATCTTACTACACAGAGATCAGCGGAAATTACTAGAAGTCCACATGAAAAAAATTCCAGCCTTTACCGGGTCCTCCAGCACTCGAGGCCACACAGAGAGATGATTTCTGAAACGAACAATGGCAGTTTTAACCTGTTGTTGCTGAAGGTGGGCCTTGACCGCATGTGCTATATCTGGATGATAATTGTTTTGCTGTAAATCACCCTTGGTAAATTCGCACTGATTAAAAAAAATCTACAACTTAGCACTTGGAACACTCCCATAAGCGCTCCGTCCCCATCTTCAGCAGCAAACAAAAAGTTTCAATTCCGATGGTACTAGTAACTGATTGTATATCCGTCCTCATTTGCATCGATGAAATGCTCTATTTGTGGTATGATTTATTCTCTGTAGTGAATACAAATCTGGTTGCCATTAAAGGTGGGGAGGTTGGTTCTTGTATAAAAGTCCTTGGTCTCCGAAGTGCTTCCTTACAATCCCCAGGACGCAGCCTGTGTTGAGTGGTGGGCTCAATATACGATGTGATTCACATCATCGTGGCACCATTATGACCCCAAATCTAAAATTGTCAGCAAGCACTGGAAAACTCACGGTTCTCCGACACAAAGAGCACATAATTTTGCAGGGAAAGTAATGCTGATAGGACTGAAATAATTTCCACCAACTGCAACTCACTGCATGACCTCCCTAACTATTCACCTGTGTCTAAATCTCTTTTCTCTGAGTGAACGTCTTTCTCGCCCTGTGGATTCCATCCAGTGCAAGACAACTTCTTCTTCGCCGAGGTAAACTCTGGCAGAAAGTCTGGTTGTTTGTCCACTTCTAGACTTTGTATTGTTCCAGGACTTGCACGCACATCAGTTTTATGGATCTGGCTTATTTGTGTACACCCTCATATATCTCGCCACTCATGCAGATATGGCAAACTACTGAACGTAAAATTATCCAGTAAGACCAAACATACAATTTTTAAAATCCTGGCACTGACTCTGCAACCTCCTGTAAAGGATACCCAACTCGATCATATGCACACCTAATTCAAAAGAAATGCCAATCCTATCTATGTTCACAAGGTGTGTCAACCTGTTTATAGAATGGCCACAGACCAGTAGCAAGCCTGTGGCGCTGTGATTTCAGTGAAAGGCTTGAGGAAAGGTTACGGCCACTGGGACCTGTATAAGGAGACTCTGTGCTCTCTCACTTACATCAAAATAACAGATCTAAATCATCTACATGTCTAGTAAATTCACAAATAAAAGTAAAGGCAAACAGGTTTTCAGATTCAAATCACATTTCTAGTAAAATCATACACTTTAGGTCAACATAAATCCAAACAAGAAAACGCCAACATTTTAAACTGCATTTTAATTTTCACCTCACTGCTTGATTTCTCATGAGCAAGCATTCATAGCCATGTCAGTATAGCAACGATAAATAAATAAATACAGAGCGAATGGAGGCCGTTGCCATCAAAATCCCAGGCAGTACCAGTGTTCCCATCCACCTGTCTTCTCACAAGGCATCCCCCACCCCAACGCTCATTAATGTATTGTATTCCTTGTGATACCACTTTGCACTTAGTGTCCTGCGGCAACATTCATACCAGCAGTGGGGTGACAATATTTATTCGACACTGTTAACATTGTAAAGTATTTTGTAGTACATTTTCTCCACAGTTACAAAATCACAGACACAATGGCAAATGGTTATGAGTGTGAACTAAATACTCCTCCCCCCCCCCCCCCCCCCCCCAAAAAAATATAAATAGTGGTTGCACAAGAGAGGGACAGGGAGAGAATGAGAGCGGGGAGGGTGGGGACACACAAAAGACCAACACACATGGTGTTTTGTTTACCAGCTGGGGTGATGACGAGGGAAAGAGAGAGAGGAAAGAGAGAAGAGGTCTGGTCGTTAGGGTACAAATATAAATTAAACCCATATCCCAAATTTATCACAAAAACAAATGATGCCTACTATATTATCATCAAGACCAGCGGTTCTCAACCTGTGGGTCACGACCTCTTTGGAGGTTGAACAACTCTTTCACAGAAACACCATCAGAAAACACATATTCACTAAGTTATGAAGTAGCAATGAAAATAATTGTATGGTTGGGGGCCACCACAACATGAGGAACTGTATTAAAGGGCCGCTGCATTTGGAAGGTTGAGAACCACTGACATAGACCAAGCCTCTTAAACATGGCTATCAGGGATTCATTTAATAGGAAGAGTTAGGGATCTTTTCCATGCCATATTTGGTCTGGACCCACAGTACTATATCTATAACAGTACAGATCCTTTGATGTGTAGATCCAGGCAACACCACACAGGCTGCCTTTACTTTCCACAACACTTTCTGGTACCCATTTTACATGCATCCATATGTTAGTCTAGGACAACGATAAAAAATCTGCCTTGATGAGGATCTGAACCCAAGACTCTTAAGACATCCATTCCAAGTGTTTTAACTACTACCACCACAGCCTCCTCTTCATATGGAAGGCACAGGCTCAATACAGACCACACAAATTCTGGCCACTGACATAAGGGACCTAACAACCTATTTCCAAGGCACCTTACTAGCACATACAAGTGGTGTCCTTACATTACATGGCATTTTTCTGTACACCAGTACTTGGCAATTTTGAATTCAAGGAATGGAATTATACACTTTCCATGCTCAGTAAATTATAAGGTTGGCACTCCTATTGATAAATGAGACTTCTGAGACTAAAGGCCCTAGTTGTATCATACGGACATCCACATTCATTTACCTCTAACACTGAACTTCTAGAAATATCTCTGTGTTGATTTCAACACTTGTGTCAGCGCTGACTGTTCAAAGAGCAATGGCAAACTACTGAATGCTGGGGCTAAGTTTTGACATCCTGTCAAGCAGAACTGTTCACTGGCCTAACAAGTGGCCAGCAGATCACTGCCAACTGTACTGTATTATTGATCTTCCTATGCTAAGGCTCAAACCTCTGACCCATGACAATCTCCATTTTCAACATTTTGTTGAATTAGGAATTGACATGTACTCAGGACACTCCCACAAACCCTCCGTCCCCATCTTCAGCAGCAAGCAAAGAGTTCCAATTACGATGGCACCAGTAACTGTCTACTATCTCGCCTTTCCCTTGAGTATCGACCAAATCCCTGGTAACTCCTCGCAGCGCCATTCTCCTCAGTTTGTAGGTCAATATGTGCCTCCTTACTGTTCACTCGCTCCAAAAGGGACCTCACAACATCTAGCTTGTCACACATCAATCCACCGCCAAGTGGTGCATAACCGGCCAGTCTATCTGCCTGCTCATTTCCCAACACACTGACATAACCTGGAGAAAATATCCAAAGGACGCTAACTACACAGGACCTCTGAAGCCCAAAATATTGGCCCCTGAATAACCTCAGTTGAATAGCCCTGCTGTAAAGAAATCGCAACTAACTTTATATAAAAAAAACAAAGACACACACTAAACTGCCTCCTGCAATACTGCTGTACACATACATTCATGGCACATCAAGTGTAATCACTGTGGAGTGTTGAAATCATGAAGCATCACTTTTGCCAGAAACCATCTGCTCAGATCAGATGTACAACTGTTAGATGCGAACCTCCGACTTTACAATTGTTAATATGTAGACTTCTGACTTTTCTGAGGAACATTTTCTTACTGAAGAAAAGGGAAAGAAAAATAAAATGTTTATCTAAAAAAAAACTACTACCCAGAGCTGATCACAATGTGGATGAGAAGTAAGACGATACCTATTTCAAATAACACATTTGTTTTTTGTGTGTTCTTACTTGATTCTAATGTATTCAAATGCGGGGGAAAAAAAAGAATTAACCATACGGCTGACAACTATTTCACTCACTGAAGCACTGAAATGAGAAGAATAAAACACAAAAAAGTCATTCGTTTGTACAGAAAAAGTTAACTAAACATGAAGAGAAAATTATGATAGGTGGCAATTGCCTTTTTACCGTCTGCTTTTGCACACCCAAGCAAACAAAACATTTTCACCTTATTCATCCTGTTGTACTTGGCTTGAATACAATTGAGATTGTGTAATATTTATATTTCCTTTGTATCTACCAATGGAGAATAGACCCTTAACAACTCATGTCAAGCCAATCTATACTCTGCACCCCTATTTTCCTAAGGCCACTTTAACCTGCTCTATTCCAAGTGGTTACTCTGCACCCCTATTTTCCTAAGGCCACTTTAACCTGCTCTATTCCAAGTGGTTACTCTGCACCCCTCTTTTTATATGGCCACTTTAACCTCCTCTATTCCCAGTGGTTACTTTGCACCCCTCTTTTTCTATAGCCACTTTAACCTGCCCTATTCCCAGTGGTTACTTCAGCATATGCTGTAATGGTATAAATCTCCAAAATTTTAAAACAATAAGATTAGTGCAATGGGAAAGCCACATAGTGAAAGCCTTGGTACTTGCGTGGTATGCTCTGTAAACAGAACAGAACCTGATTACGCAAGACTCAAACCTGGAAAGGAAGACATGGACCCTCTTCCACGCCTTTAGTTGTGTAATGGGCCTATAGGGCTAGAATTAAATTTTATAGACCAGACGCTATTTGGTGGGTGTTGTGGTCAGCTTCACACCGGGGAAGACATGGATAATCCACAAAAGATTCTCAACAACATTAGCTGGACCCTAAAGATAGGTGATCTGCTTCATTACCTTGGCAACAAACATGTTGCTATGGACCGTAGGAGACTTACTAACCCCTCCATACATGCCACAATTACAGATTACATGGTGATGTTGAACAGACAAAAGAAAAAAAAAAGACTCCAAAGGACTACCATAATGGACACAGGCATGCACAATTAGCCAACACGACATACTAATATGGACAAAAGGCACACACACTATTCAAGCTATTACATTTCGCACAAATAATATATCTTAGGCAAACACATCTGGCACAAAGAAATCAGATCTTAAATATAACCAAAACTGCTAACAGCAGGTTGAACGTGCTCGACTTGGAAATTTTTTTTTTTTAACTTTTCGAGTATGAAATAAGAACTACTACTACTACTTTGCATTCATCGGCTGTAAACTCTGGAGGTCCATTCCGGGTGTTTTTCAACCTGTGAACTTTAGTTCCAGAACCTGACTGAGTGTTGCATACCCATCCGTTTTACATATCTGATTTAACTGTATGCAGATTATTTGTTCCTTGCCTTTCAGACAGATTCACTCTGACCTTGAAGAAAGCCCACAATTGGTCAACTCTTACGACATGTTTTTAGGAAAGGCGGTGGGTCTTTTCTTGTTTTCCCCACAATGGGGCTACACAACCCACATGGGAAAAACAAATGCAACCTTCTATCGTTTTGTGACCATTTGTATACTTATAGCTAGTACAACATTTGGCTTCTTATTCTGCTGCTTCTTCTTCTATGTTTGCTTCTAAAATGAAGTTGGCCCACTGTGTTTGATATGCCCGATTCAAGTGAAACAGGACTAACCTTCTGTCATTTTGTGAGCATCTGTTGTCTGCGGATTGGCAAGACCCCCAGTTCTGAAGCCAGGGGGAGGATTGTGAGTGTGTGTAGGCCAACCTCCTGCTCCAGACAAAGGAAACTGTTGCACAAAAGGTAGTCTGTGAGATGGGCCTTCTGTTTCAGTTAGCTGGTGCAGAGATTTCAGCCAGTGGGGGGCTGTCTCTGGAAACATGTTAACTGTAAAATTGTAGGGAAAATGGTAACAATTTGGTTATCTTTCTTATAAATCATGGTAATGGCAATAAAGATACTATCTGGATAGTTACAAGAAGAAAAATGTATGTAGTTATTCATCATCATCATCATCATAAATCACTTCTGCTGTTAAGCGTTGTGGGGAGGAATAATTTGCGATCCAGTGCACGTTGGCTGCCACTGGTTATTGTCATGCAGAGAAGGCATGAATGTTCTCGATCCATGTTTTCCGCGGCCGTCCTCTTGCTCTTGTAGCTGATCTTCTGAGATGTAGTGCTTGTGATGGTATTTGATCTTGCTGCATTCTAACGAGATGGCCAAACCACTTGATCTGCTGTTTCTCGATGAATCTAGTACAAGGTATCGTTCCCACAATTTGCCTGATAGTTTCATTATTCACTCGATCTCAGATGGTTTGGTTGGCTGCTTTTCTCAGGCACCTCATCTCGCAGGTGGTGATTTTGCATATATGGGCTTTAGATAGTGTCCATGTCTGGCACTGGTAGCTTAATGCTGGAATGAATATACTTTTAATAATGTCTCTTTGCACTCACAGTTTTGCTTAGATGTCTTAATAATGGTGACAATTGGTATATAAGTCCACTTGCTTTCTGACATCTGGTTTCTATTTCTCTGTCAATTCTACCAACTTCTGTGATCATACTTCCTAGATGCAGTTATTAATATATGAATAGTGATAGAATTAAACAAACAATTTGGAAAATCGCAAATGAACAAACATATACAAATTATTATAAATTATATGAAAAATGATGGCTATAAAGGTAAAACATAGTGAAGATCAAAACTTGTTCCTGAATTTAAAGAAAGGAAAAAATATCATCCACAGATAAAACTGTCTTGTGACCTAAAATTTTACTAAACGATGAAACAATTGAAAATGTCAAAAACTGAATATCTAGGCTCCATAATAAACAGCAACAAAGACTGTTCAACAAAAAGTCAAAAAAGAGGATGACCACAGCAATGCAAAGGCTAAACAGCATTAAAAGCCTGTGGCTAAGCAACAACAAGGAAATCAAAGTCAAAATTATGAGAGCGTGCAACATACAGATGTAAGTCGTGGACCATCTTGCTGCCATTAAGGAAGAAAACAGGGGCTTCTGAGCTGAAATGCTTTAGAAAGATTCTCAGAATACTATGGAATAAAAAGAAACAAATACTGACATACTAAAAAAATCCGTACTTCAAGAAAGACTGCCCGTCAATGTCAGCAAAACCTTAAATAACGCTATGCTCATTAAGGCATCTGTGGCTTAGGGGCAAACCCGCTTCATAATTCAGTGGTGCCGGGTTTGATCCCAGCTGTGGCTGAATTAGTTCCAAAAGTATAGAGACCTAAACATTCTGAAAGCAATGGCAAACTACTGAATATAAAATTGCCTAGTAAAACCACAAACAGCCAAAAATAAAATGTTGGGGTTGGACTGTGAAGGACATGCAACTAACTTTTATTCAGGGGCAATGGTTGTATTCCTTTCTCCTCAAAATATGGGGTCAAGGAACAACATGGAGGATACAAATTATTATAAATTTATGAAAAGTTATGGAAAATTCACAAACACCTTAATATATACTTTCAAAAGGTTTTCACAGGATAAATATTTGTTTCTTTTTCTTCTTCATTGTTCATCCGAATGAGATAATTGCGCTGTACTTGTTTACAGCATAGCTGTGAGATTTGCCCATTTTGGCCGACACATCCGACTACACCTGGCAGTTGTTTACTAGATTAGCCCTTCCCAGAGATATGTGTTACACAACTGGAAGACAGAGAGAAGACAAAAGGCAGAAGACTAGGTTTCTGTTCAAGACAATGTTTTTAAGGTGTCAATGCAAATGAGGACACACACAACATACTGCATAATTTATTGCCTGGCCTATTTTACGGTATTTCTTCATGTGCATTAGTACAGAATTGATGTCAACACAATGGCTGTTGTTAGCCTAGAAATTCCCTCGAAGTCGGAGTACATCTGCCGGTGAGGCAGGGAACGAGGACTGCAAACAAATAAGACAGTAAAACGGATGTACACGCAAAACTCAGGTCAAGGTAAAAGCCAAAAGTCCATTTTGGACGAACAACCGTGACTTACCGCCGGAATTCACAGCCGGTGAACAAGAAGAAGAAGAAGAAGAAGCCTAGAAATACTCAGAAGGAGATGGGAGCACTTATGGTCAAGGCCTATGTGCGATAAAGATTATATTTAAATAAACAATGAACAAATACATCAACATATAATAAATTACAGCAGCAAATTCTTCCAATTAATATTCACAAATTCCATATGTGGGTTTCGGGACCCCATATTAGGGAACACAAGAACAAACCCACTGCCTCCTCAACAAGCGTATCGTAAGTGGGTGCATCCTTCAAAGTCAAGAGTTCATCTGTCTGAGAGGCAAGGAACCAAAAGTCTTGCACACAAATAAGCCAGATCTATGAAATGGATGTGCACGCAACACTCAGGTTTTTGGAGCAAGATAAAAGTCCAGACGTTGTCCAACACCCAGAAATTTCTGCCAGAGTTTACAGCCCGTGAAGAAAAAGAAGATATTCACAAACCACACTATTCACTATCACATAAAGCAATCTGGATAATTCCACAATATACAAACAAAATGATCATGTGGTTAAATTCAAGGCTTCCGCAGTGATATATACAGTGTAAGAATAGACTATGTAATCTGTGTAATAAACAACCACCTATCACTTGCTACTTGTTACCCGTATCGGCTCCTAGCACATCAGACTGACGCCAACGAACCACCTACCACTGACCTAGATAACCACTGACAGCCTTCTTTGTCTTCTGGATATGCCCCTGAAAGGGTGGTTAGCAGGTGTTATAGTTTACAGCTAAGGCTGCCATATCTGCACCCTAATACGGCCCAATACATTCAACTTCAGCAAATCCTTAAGCAGTCACCTATAACCAACAATAAAACTAAATAAACTGTCCCCTAAACAACCACTGACCTAGCCAGCCACTGGGTGAGCCAACCACTCACATAGCCACCAACTGCTGACATAACCAACAATCCACCTAGACAACCAGCGATCCAAACAATCACTGACCTAGCCAGCCACTGGGTGAGCCAACCACTCACATAGCCAATGACTGGCATAACCAACAACCCATCTAGAAACCTAAACAACCACTCACCTAGCTAACCAGTGAAGCCAGCCACTCATTTCTTCTTCTTCTTCGCATCCATGGGCTGTAAGCTCTGGCAGAAAGTTCTCGTTGTTCATCCACTTCTGGACTTCAGTCCTATTCCAGAACTTTCTGAGTTTTGGCAGCACATCCATTTTCCAGATCTGGCTTATTATGCAAACTGCTGGTTCCTTGCCCTCACGCAGAAACACTTTGACTTTAAAGAAAACCCCTAATGAGTCAACTTTTACAACAAGCTTGTTAGGGAGGGAGTGAGTCCATTTATCCCCCCGCCCCCTCCCCCATGGGGCCAGGAACCCACAAGGGGAAACCACTCATTTAAAACTCACCTGGAGAATCTGTAAAGTGGCTAGTGCTAACTATTGCTGGATCATTCCAAGGAGAGGATTCTGGTGAATTGGACAACTGCCAACCTAACAGACACGATCAATATACACTTATTTCAACAAAAAAGTACAAATAATATTAAACTTCAATTCTTCGTTATCTTGCGGCTATGAAGCTTACAGGTGAGTTAAATTGTTTCACAATGCAGTCCCTAATATCCACCAGTGTTCGCTTACTGAGGTGGGTGTTTTAGAAAAAAGCCTGCTCTCACAGCATTCAGACGGTAGTATGAGTCGCACCATATAAATAGCCTCACCATAGTAATATCCTTCCCCGTGTGGGTTCCGGGGCCCCATCGTGGGGAAAACAAGAATAGACCCTCTGCCTACCCAAAAGCATGTCGTAAGAGTCGACTAATTGGGGAGCTTCCTTTGAAGTCGGAGTGCATCTGCCTGAGAGGCAAGGAACCAACAGTCTGCATTCAAGTGAATCAGATTTGTAGAACTGATGCACACGCAAAACTCAGGATCTGGAGCAGGACTGCAGTTCAGAAGTGGACGAACAACCAGAACTTTTCACCAGAGTGTACAGCTGGTGAACGCGAAGAAGAAGTAATATGCTCAGATTTAGCAATGGATAGTTTGCAGCAAAAATTCAATGCAGAATGGTATATTTTTTTTTAACCTTAAATATTAACACTGTAATGAATAATTGTCATATTTGTATCCCCATTCCTTGCCTGTGTGGGCTCCAAGGCCCCACTGTGTGGAAAACAAGAACAGACCCTCTGCCTCCTCAAAGAGGGAGTCGACTAATTGGTCACTTCCTTCTACTCAGAGTGCATCTGCTCTAGCAGCAAGGAACAACCATGTGCACACAAATAATCCAGTAAGATGGATGTACATGCAAAACTGAGGCCCTGGCACACAGCCAAAGTAAAAAAGGACGAACAACCAGGACTTTGCGTTCAGCTTACAGTCGGTGAACATAGAAAAAGTATCCCCCATTCTTCTTCTTCTTCTTCGCGTTCACCAGCTGTAGACTCTGGCGGCAAGTTCTGGTTGTTCGTCCCTCCTGGACTGCAGTCCTGCTCCAGAATCTGACTGTTGCGTGTGCATCAGTTTTACAGATCTGATTCACTTGAATGCAGACTGGTGGTTTCTTGCCCCTCAGGCAGATGCACTCCGACTTCAAAGGAAGCTCCCCATTAGTCGACTCTTACAACATGCTTTTGGGTAGGCAGTGGGTCTATTCTTTTCCCCTACAATGGGGCCCCGGAGCCCACACGGGGATTTCCCCCATTCAAAAGCTCACATGAAAAAATATGTTCATTTGCTTCACTTCAAAAGCTGGTGAACTGGCTAATGGCCAATCTAACAGAAATGATCATTATACATCTATTTTACAAAAAGTATTACACATCTTAAATTTTCAAATTGCAATGAACCACTACCCCATTTCCTCTTCTTCTTCTCTATGCTCATTGGCTGTAAACTCTGGGCCAAAGTTTTGTTTGTTCGTCCAATTCTGGACTTTCATCTTGTTTCAGGACTTGAGTACAGCACATATCTTTTACAGATCTGGCTTATCTGTGTGCAGACTGTTGGTTCCCTGCCTCTCAGGCAGACACATTCCATCTTCAAAGGCAACATCAATCTAATCTAATTAGTGGCCAGGCCTCTGGTTAGGAACCTGTTTCTAGGATGACTGCAGAGAAGGTGTAGATAGATCTTGACCCGTATGTGCCCTGGTCCCGGTGCATCCTCATGTGTGGCTCAGCACATCTGCATTCTTATCAAAATTCATTTGAGCAAATATGTCCAGTCAGGTCATTCCATTCATTTCATAGGCCGGCATGCATATAAAAAAAAAAAAAACACACACACACTACAGTAGAGACTTGATAAGAAGAACTCACCGGGGACTAAAGAAATGGTTCTCCTTATCAGAAATACCTCTTGTACAAATAAGAGTTCAAGCAAGAAACATTGCCGGGATAAACAAATTGTTCTTCAAAACAGAAATTCGCCACATCTAAGATCGCCTTAAGTGGTCTGCATTGTACTGTTAATCTTGAATCGTGACAGCTGATACTCGGTCTTGGCTGGTATAGCCATTGCGGATGCCTTAGTTATAACTGTTTTCCCTTTGTCAGTTCCACTGTGGGGGAGAACAAGAATAGACCCACTGCCTACCTAAAAGCATGTCATAATAGTCGACTAAGTGGGAGCTTCCTTTGAAGTTGGAGTGCATTCGCCTGAAAGGCAAGGAAGTAATAGGCTGCATACAAACCAGTCAGATCTGTAAAATGAATGTGCATGCAACACTCAGGTTCCGGAACAGGGCTAGAGTCCAGAAGAGAATGAACAACGAAAACTTTCCACAGGAGCTTACAGATGGTAAATGTGAAGAAGAAGAAGAAGAAGAAAGATAACTTCTTTGTGGGTTGAATGGGCTTCTGGGATCTGCTTTGTTGGTCTGCCATCAATACTTAGATAGTTAAATCTCAGGATAGTATGGTAAACTTTTAGGTAGCTGCCCGGAGAGGATCAACAGCCAATACTGAGAGATAAAGAACCAACAGTGAATACACACAATGAGCCAGATCTGGAAAATGAAAATGCAGGCAATGATTAAAACCTGTGTCCAAAGCCCAGACAATCAAACAGGACAGAAGAAGTAAAGTCTAATTTGAGATGATCCAACTTTATTGAACTGAGTTATCACATATCTCTCTCAGCAGAACAGCTAGCCGCCCGCAAAGAACATCACACAAAGCATGAACTTCATAGCTCTAATGATGATCCCCAGGGATCTCTGTAAAAACTGCCCTCATGAACTCAACAATGCATCTGTGATATTAACCCACGACCTACAGAGCTAAGAGGCAAATGGCTTGACCACTTCACCAGAGAGATCCCAGAGGAGAAATAAAAGCCAGCTTTACTGAATTGTCAAGACACCAGCCTTACTTTTGTTGATATGCTGAGTCTGTTGTGATGGGTGCAGAGGGAGCTGGTGTTGCTGAATCTGACGGGGATGAGTATCACCAAAGCTGATGTTGATGTTGGGCAACATGGAGCGTAGCTGTTCCTGCATATCTTTCATAGTGAACAAATCGCGCTAGATGAGTGAAGAAACATAACAAGTGGAAATAAACACTTTTAAAAAAAAATGGAGATTAACACTTAAACAAAAAAAAAAGCACAATATTAATTTATGAAATTTTAGGTCAAAGAAAAATGCAGCTGGTTGATATTTGTACAACCAGTGCTGATGAAATTGCTGCTGAACTGACTGAATAAGGTGGTCATCTAGTATATTTTAAGATATATAAATTATTAAAACTAGTTTGGAGGACAGAGAAGTTACCCCATGAGGAAAAAGAATCATTGTTAACAATCATCTTTAAGAAAGGAGACCAGTATAGAAAGGAAATTAATGAGGAATATCACACCACTATTGTCTACAAGCTACTCTCAGCGGTACTGGTAAACAGGCTGAAACCATTTGTGGGCGACTACCAAGTGGATTTCCAACAGAACAGACAACAATATATCAGATATCTGTTTTACAACATAAAGCAGGGAAATACTGGGAATACAAAAGATGTAATGTTTCTGGGTATTTTGAACAAGGCATATGATAGCGTATATAGAAAACGTTTGTGGATGCTATGGAGAACCATGGAATACCAAAGAATTTAATCATCATGACCAAACTATGTATGGAAAACACTTATAAAATAGGCAGAAAGTCAGAGCTATTTCAAATAACATTTGGTTTAAAGCAAGATAATTCTCTGTGTGGGTCAGGGGGTCCCATTGTGGGGAAAACAAGAACAGACCCATTGCCTCCCCAAAAAACATGTCGTAAAAGTCAATGAATTGGGAGCTTACTTCAAAGTCGCAGTGCATCTGCCTGAGAGGCAAAGAACCAACAGTCTGCATACAAATAAGCAAGATCTGTAAAACGGATGCACATGCAAAACTCAGGTCCTGGAACAAAGCCAAAGTCCAGAAATGGACAAACAACCAGTTATTTCTGGTGAGTATTTTAGCCAGTGAACGCAAACAAACAAACAACAAAGCACTCCCTTTCCTCTTCTTTTCAACTTGGCCCTAAAAGAAAATTATAAAGACAATGAAAGAAGAGTACTATAGGAGCAACTACAGGAATACTTCACTAGCAGATGACACAAATATAGTTATAGAAAATTAATTAAAATGACAGTTAAAGTCATTTGAAGGAAGCAGCTCAAAAAACAAACCCAAAAAAAGAGGACTAGTTATCAAACAGGATAAGATATAATACACTGTAATTAACAAGAGAGGAGAAGGATACATCTCCAGCCACATACAAATAAATTATACGAAAATGAAATGAACATAAATATACAAGGTTCTTGGGTACAAACTTCAAGTGCACTTACACAGTAAACGGAAGAAATACAATCTAGAAATAAAAAGTATACTATGCCCTACAACATTTGCTAAAATCCAAGGTTCTATCTGGTAACGGCAAGATCGCGAAGAAGAAGAAGAAATCACAACTGATCACTAACATCACAAGGGCTAATAGACTTAAATGGCTAGAACACATAAAGAGAGAATGGAAAATGACAGAGACGTTAAAAACTGTATACAAGGGAGTTAAATAGTTGCAGACCACAAGGCAGACCAAGAAGACAGTGGAGAGATAACATCCATGCAGACCTACACACACTTGAAGTCACCAAGTGAAGGTCAATCACAAAGACGAATGGAGGCGGCCATACACCCCCCCCCCCCCCCCCTTCCACCCCTCACAACACACACAGGTATTTTAAAAGTCAGGGAGCAGTGGAAAGCATTAACTATGAAGACATCTTTCACAGGACACAAATAGATCATTATGGTCTGAGGAGAATGGCAATGCGGGGAGTAACCAGATCTTGTCAAAGCTCAACACTCAAGGGAAAGGCAAGGCGAATGTACAATCAATTGCTGGTGCCATCAGAATTAGAACTCTTCGCTTGCTGCTGAAGATAGGGAGGAAGCGTTTATGGGAGTGTCGCGAATGCCACGGTGTCGATTTTTAATTCAAAATTTAACGTTCATTCACAGAACCTTAACAACCGCCCACAGATCGAGATTATGGGAACAAAGAACTATAAATAAACAACCTTTGACTTAGTATATAACGGTTAAGATTACCCAGGAGTATTCTTTTGTATTACTAAATTGTAACCGCTGTTTCATGACACAAGTTGCATTTAAAAAGAATTTCACTGTATTTCACATGTTTTCTCTCTCTCTCTCTCTCTCTCTCTCTCTCTCTCTCTCTCTTTTTAAAAAAAATTTTTTCATGCATTCATCTAGTACTCAAAAGAAATCCTGACAGTATCTGTGTCGCGTGTGCAGGTGCTGGGCAAAAATGTGCTTTTTTATTTTTCAAATGACTTTGCCGACCTGGAAATTCTTCATTGCCAACTTAACAAAAGGTTTCTAATCATCCCATTGTGGGATGCAATTTTTCATTATTTAAAGCCTTACTCTGGCTCTTGCCAGGGGCCGCAGTATAGCCAGGCCATAATTATGGCTTAATGCGGTTTCTGTGACCTCTCCACGGGTGATCCTCATCCACATGGTGGCACTTTGTGTCATCGGGTGTTTATCGCTTGTGTGATGTCCTGGTGGGGTAAAGGGAGATAGATTTAAAAAGACTTTAAAGTGTATGCATCATTCAAGAGATTCCTTTAATTTTCCTAACTAATCAAGGAACTTCTAAAATTGTACACACCAAACAGCACTGGGGTAAACAGCATACGAGCTGGCAGCACTGGGGTAAACAACATACCTGTGGCTGATGCTGTACATGTAGATCCATCTGCAGACTGTGGTAATTTGGCTGTTGTGGGAATCTCTGGTGTGTAGCAGGGGCAAACTGGGGTAGAAGTTCTAGCATTTTTGAGCTGGCTGGTTTCCAAACAGAAAGAAGAATGAGATCAGATATGCAGATTAACAGAGAAGAGCAGTGATGGGTTACATCTAAGAATACTGGTTGCGAGGAGACAAAGGGTCCCACTCAGAACTATCATCATCATTGTATACACAGGGCTCTATTCCCCCATTCTGTTGTATTCCGTGCAAACCCTTTAATATCATGAACTGAATTCAGCCCTCATTTGGCTTCCCTCATTATTTATGAAAATTGCAGTTGCGGCCTGTCCAGTGTGTCAGCTTGCCCGATGACAAGTGGGTGCCCCTAAACACTATATATAATATGTATTTTGCTACGTTAACACCTCTAAACAATATATATATATACTATGTATTTTGCTACATTAACACCCCTAAACACTATATATACTATGTATTTTGCTACATTAACACCCATAAACACTATATATATATTTGTGTGTATATATATGTGTGTGTGTATATATATATATATATATATATATATATATATAAAATTTATTTTGCTACATTAACACCCCTAAACACTATATATACTATGTATTTTGCTACATTAACACCCCTAAACACTATATGTTAATGTAGCAAAATAAATTATATATATATATATATATATATATATATATATATATATATATATATATATATATATATATATATATATATATATATATATATATATATATATATATATATATATATATATATATATATATATATATAATTTATTTTGCTACATTAACACCCCTAAACACTATATATACTTTGCATTTTGCTATATTAACATAACATACTTTGTAGATAAAAATATAATTGATGTGTGAAAGATAAAGATGAGTGTCTGGAAGGGCTGAATGTGAGATGGGACTGCGTGTCCAATGAGACTTTTTTTTGCTAGAAATGGAAACACACAACCCCAAATGAAGAGAGAGGGTTTCTTGTACTGTTGCTTGACATGAGTGTTGTAAAAAAAAGCCCTCTATGTCAGATTACTGGTGCACACATCCATTTATCCATTCATCATTTGCTGCCAATAATGGTTATTCCCATAATATGTCAGGAGTTGACATCAATGACCAACTGCTAGCTTATGTTCCTCTTACGCATCGATCTTTGGAAAATATTTTTACCATACTATTGACAAAAATTTGGCTGTAACAATTTGATTAGTGTGAGTATATATGATAATTTTTTTGTTGCACTGATATTGATTTGCACATCATTTTATAAATTCATAAAACAACACAATCTCATGCTTGCTTTTATGTCATCAAATTTATGTACTGCTGTCAGATAACAGATCTTTCTGTTGCCTTTTTTGTGTGTGCAAAATATCTATAGCCACATGACAAAAATAAAACCCACTTTTTTCTTTGTTATCCACTCAGTCTGGTGCAATCTACAGCCAAATGATGATGATTCAAACAAATTAAATGCAATTCGTTCTTCAAATTCATTCTCCATTCAATTTTTTCACAACAATACAAGATAGGATAAGTGTATGCTAAAAAGTGTATTTTGAAAAGTTGTGAAGCTATGACATTTTTGTTAGCCTATATTGTTGTCAGAAAACAGATTTATTTTTCGGTTGCTCTTTTGGCACCAATCGAAAGCCAAATAATGATGACGTAAAACAAAATAGAAAGATTTTTAAACCCGAAATGTGTTCTCCATTCAATTTGGTGCAAAATACAAAATATAATAAGTGTCTGCTTAACAAAGCTATTGCATTTCTAGTACACACTAAAATACGTGGCATCTGGTAAAATGCAAGGGTTACCGGGCTTGGTAGTCAGTGGGTTAAAGGCGACTAATCAGGTGTTTGCTGAAATTGAATATGTTAGGCTGAAAGGTACAGATATCACAGCCTAGCTTGGTAGTCAGTGGGTTAAAGGCGACTAATCAGGTGTTTGCTGAAATTGAATATGTTAGGCTGAAAGGTACAGATATCACAGCCTAGCTGTAAACCACAACTCCCCTGTAAAGGGCAAATGCAGAAAAAGAATGAAGTGTGCAGAATGGAAGCTTATGACACTGGTCTCACATTTCAGCTAACCACAGTTTCAATCTAAATTAAAAAAATTAAAGCTTAAACTGTTATCTATCAAAGCACACATACAAACACAACCTTCAGCCTCAACACTGCATCGTGACTGCGAAGGTAAGCATCTTTCATTTTCTCAATTCTTTTAAATTCTCCTAGCATTTATCAGCAACTGTACCTGAAATGGCACTTCCCCCCACCCCCCTCCCTTTTTCTGGTCTGTCCCTCTTTGAATCAATAAAGTGCCCCTGTGTGTTCCTGGTCCCATTGTGGGGAAAACAAGAACAGACCAACTGTCTCCCCAACAAGCATGTTGAAAGAGTCGACCAGCAAGGGCTTTCTTCAAAGTCGGAGTGCATCTGCCTGAGAGGCAAGGAACCTACAGTCTGCATACAGATAAGTCAGATGTATAGAACGCATGTGCTTGCAACACTCAGGTTCTGGAACAAGACTGAAGTCCAGAGGTGGATGAATATTCAGAACTTTCCGCTGGAGTTTACAGCTGGTAAACGTGAAGAAGAAGAAGAATCAATATAAAAACAAATTTTCAGTAGATTTCCAATTTTCACAAATCTTTGCAGTTTTATACAGATTAGATATTCTCCTCAGAGTCACATTTCACCAGTAGTTCTTCAGGAGCTTGCACAGGAGGCAAAGAATAGTAATTCTCAACGTGCTATACAAGTTGAAGAGATGATAAAGAAGGGCTAGACTGAGGCTGGCTATGTCAACTTAGAAAAGCCAACAAATCTTTAACAATTCTACAATCTCTTGATGTGAGTGAGCAGGTTCAGAACCCATGATTGAGAGAAGGGGTGAGGGAGGAAGGATAGGGGTGAGGGAGGAAGGATAGGGGCGAAGGAGGAAGGATGGGGGAGGAGGGGGAAAGGAGAAGATGAGAAGGAGGAAGGGGGAAGGGGAAAATGAAGTCACACCTAAACAGAAAAATCAAACATAAAAAGAATCCATAAACAATCAACAATGTACACATACCTGGTCTGAAAAAATGTTGCTGCTGCTGCTGTTGTTGTTGTTGCTGTTGTATTTGTGAAAGAGAGAAACCAGGTGGCAAGGTTTGTAAATACTGGGCACTGTTCTGGTGTTGTGAATGTAGCAAAGTGTGTGAAGGAAAGCCCATCTGTTGTGGTGGTGAGCCCAGCCTGCTCTGGAGATGCTGAGAGAGGTGGAGCTGCTGCTGCTGCTGTTGCTGCATACCATTCTCTTTTTCTATGAGGTCGGCTAGGCCTTTAAATGATTCTGCACATGGATCAAATCCTGCAAACACAAAAACAGAAACGGTTAGGTTAGTGAATGTCCTACTTGCATTCAATAGTGTGCATGCACTTGGATTTAGCCACAAATTTTCAGGGTTGCACATGGCTTACTTTTTTGCTTTCTTAATGAATATTTATTTAGTATCTAATAATTGAGTGAGTTGAGTTGAGTCAAGAATAGACATCACAGCACTCGGGGCATTCCCGTGCATTCTCCGTCCTCATCTTCAGCAGCCACAAACAGAGTTCTATTACTGATGGCACCGGTCACAATCAGGTTATATGTCCGTCTTGCCTTTCCTCTGAGTGTAGTGAGCTGGCCAGACCCTCTGGTTACACCCAGGTGCCTTATTCTCTCCAGGCCATAATAAATGGGCAGAGATGTGCTGTGTTAGCGCAGTCGATAGGAGACTCACTTTCAAATTCAGCGGCGACTCGCTGCAGCCCACGGACGGTATTCAAAACCGGGCAGTTCCTAGGGTTCACCCAGCCTCTAGGTAATGGGTACCAAAGTTAACACTCTGGGGTAAATGGAGGAACGTCGCTGTAGTAACAGAGTTGCGTGCGGACGGCAACACAGGCGGACAGTTTCTTACCAGCAGTCCGCACTGGTGGCAGAGCACTTATGGTTTATAACTGTGTGCAATGACGCTGGTTCACATCTCTCGATTTTACTTTTTTTTTTTACCTCAACAGGACATAATAAACTGAAACACCACTCATTCAATAAGCTAAATATAGCAGACACTGATGATTCTAACTATGGAAATCGAAAATTACAGCTAAACACATGCTGCAAAAGTGCCCAACATAAGCAGAACTGAGAAAATTATTCTGGCTCACAGCCGCTCATTTCGAGGACAAACTCTTTGGAGATGTCAACAACCACATTATGACTGCTGATTTATTTAAACACTGACATTTGAAGGAGTAAGAAGAACAACACTGTCGAAGGTCTAGAAGCTGATAGTTCCTAGATATACAGAGTTCAGAAACTATTAGGCGGAAAAAAAAAAAGATTTAAAAAAAGTGATAAATCTTGTACATGTTTGTTGTTTGTTTTAGTATCCAGAAGCCATGAGTTGCTAACCCTTAGGCTCGGTATTATGGATATCACAACCTTCGGGCCTTGATTCCATTGTAAATACCGTAAATCTGGGAGAAAATGTGGCTTTTCTGAATACCCCTGGGAGTGAACTTGGACCACAAGGAGTTCGTCACTCGGTCACCACGCAATCCGGTTTAGCCAACTACGCTAGAGAGCCGGGCAAATCTTGTTCATATACTGTCCCACTGAATGCCCCTAGGCATCTATTTGTTAAATGCCATATGAAACTATAGTGGACACAGAAGTTCACTGCAGTAAACGTCTGACTTGCATATGAAGCTGAGTACCCATTCTGTGTAGGTAATTTAAATCCCGGGTCTGCAGATTGCCTACTACTGGCTTTTGAAGGCATTGCCCGCAATGACTGAGAAGCTCAATAAACGGAAGTGAGGTTAAACAGTCAAGAGCAGGACGTGACAATAGCTTTGGTGAGCCCAGAATCAGAGCAAAATATGTATTGCCTCTGCATTTTAGAAGCCTCCTTGGATGATAACGAATGCTTAGTTTCTGCCTCTGCCTTCTCTTAAGGGCTGACCAGCATTACGTGGCTGCTCTGGATGAGAGGCATCACCTGTGACCTAGGAAACAAAGGTGACCACACAAAAATGAAACTGCAATATCCCACAAAACTAACTGAGAAGGCAAACCCGGGCAACCAATGTCCGCAGAAGTCAGATGTGTCGGCCGAAAGGCACAAATATCACTGCCATGTTGTGAACGGGCACAACATATTTATGTCTTCGGATGAACATAGAAAAATAATCTGGATAAACGGTTAAGTTAGCTGCAGCTTTCTACTGTAAAAGAAAATATATTTCAATTTAGAACTGTCACACTAACTGAACACAAGGACACAGAAAAAGTCAATCAGACATGACAGAAACAGAAAAGACAGGACAAAGAGGCAGGGCAAAAGAGGAGGGCTACCTAGATCATCTTCTGGTGGGAGCTCTTTGTTTTCAAAACCAAATGCTGCAGACCAGTCTGTGCTTGTGGACACTGGGAGAGAATCTGCCATCTCTTGATGAGGTAGCGAAACACTTGGCATTTCTGTGACAAAGTTCAAATAAAATATTTAAAATTAAAAAAACCTTTTATTGCGAAAATCACTGGCACTTTTTGTGTTGATCTGAAGCATTACACAGACAACAAAACAGAATTTAGAAATAATACCAAATGAGGACTTAATTTTCTTTATACAGGCATTAAACATTATCTAGTTGTCATGTTGACAAAAAACAAACAATGAGCTTATTATTATGAGCAAATGAAAGGAGGAAGTTCTTCTGTACTCCCTCTTAAAAAGGCAGTTGATATATGGTGCTGTGCTTTACAGTTAGGCTGTAATATCTGCAGACTGTTGTCCTAACTCATCCAATTTCTGCAAAATTCTTGTTGCCTTTTACGAGATGCTTCCACCCTCCCTCCCCCCCCCCCCCCCTCAAATTAGGGCCCCAGAACCCATATGGGGATTGGGCAAAGTCCTCAATGAAACCAGCAACTTTCACAGCATGAAGCAATGAGCTGAACCACTTCGCCATGGAGACCCCCCCCCCCCCAAAAAAAAACGGATGCAATGGTTTTTACCTGAAGAGGATACTGTTGTTGAGGGCTGTGCAGGTGTTGACGTGTGAGAATTGTTAAGCAGGTTGCTACCAAAGAATGAAAGACCTTGGATACTGTCAGTTTCAGAAGAACCTGGCCTTCTGTTAGACCCAATGGCTCCAACCATGCCATTCATGGAGCACTGATCTGCATGCTGGAGTTGCTGAGTCTGTAAGTAAACAACAAACAAAAAACCCACAGTAAAATAGTTTTCCCATGTATTAGTTAAGTTTTACCCCACCAGGGCATCACACAGAGCGATAAAAATCCGGTGACACAAAGTGCCACCATGCTGATGAGGATCACCCGTGGAGAGGTCCATGATTCCCTGTTCAACCATTAGGTTATATTAGGGCCCCCAGAAACAGCCAAGGTGGGGCTTCGAAATAGCAAAAAAAAAAAATGCGTCCAGTATTGGGATGACAATGAAGTATTATTATTCCCATGCATTTAGAATGTCAAGTTTTTAGTAAGTAAGGTTGATCTGGAAGCTGTAGATTAATTACAAGGTCTCATCGACTTACAGTCAATGTCCACTTCAACTAACAGGTCGTAAGTCAAATTTATATCGTTTAACACTATTTTAATGCAAACAGATTATAAAAATTGTACAGAAAACACAAAAATGCAATCTATGTACGTATAATTATTGTATAGATAAAGATTCTGAAAAGTTTTTTTGACACTATCAATATGGTTATCTATATTTATTTAGTAGGTTTTTGTGTGTGTGGTCGCTGAGTGTGAAAGGTCGTAAGTTGTACAAGTCTAAGTTCAGGGGAAGGTGTATAAAAATCTGTAACAATGAGCATTCTGTCCCAATGAGGATTCTAACCCAAGATCTTCTTGCCAGTAGACAAGCTGCCACAGTGAGTATCAAAACTTGTGCTCTCACACTAACAAATATCTCAAAAACTCCTGTACGGACAAACACAAAGTTTCACATGTGGCCTTAGGTTTTCCATGTCCTTATGATTCTATCATTTACAATTGCTATTTTCTTAAAGCTGTGAATTTCTTTGATTTTTTTCTTTGACTAAAACTTTGTGTACCCCCACAATATAGAATACACAGTAACTGACACAAGCGTGAAGATTGTTTGGAAATCAATTGACATGTGTGGCGCGGTGATTTATGTCACAGGCGTGAGGGGAAGTTAAGTCCAACATGATGTGTATAAGGAGATACTCCGTACGTCACTCGGGCGCCAGTCCTTCACTATCCTGGTTGTACAGATCCTCACGCAAGACCCCTACAGCACGTCCTCGTCGTGCGCCACGGATAATGTCTCAATTGAGCATTAACAGAGCTGTCAGGGGATCTCGGAGTTTGGCGGCCCCCAGAGGTGATGTGTCCTTGTGGCTCTCATCAGCCCGCCCCCAAACGCTTGGGTGAAACATGTTATCAAAACTCATTAGGAACATGAGTAGGGTTGACAAACATACAGCTAAAATTACAACCCTTGGTTAAAAGACTGCTGAGTATAGAGAACATTGCTCACTGCACATCCTCTGTTAATTCTCAGTGTCGTCGTCACCGCGCTGAGGGGCAACACAACAGCAACCATTCATGGGCTGGCCATCCTTGTGCATCCCCGGTTGGCCCTCAGTGTCGTAGTCACCGCGCTGAGGTGCACCACAACAACAACCATCCATAGGCTGGCCATTCACGTACATCCTCGGTTAACCCTCAGTGTCGTCGTCACCGCGCTGGGGTACACCACAACAGCAACCATCCATCAGATGGCTAAGCCTAAATGTCCGACAAAACTAGATCATACGGATCAAAATCTGACCATCAAAATTTGCACTGAACTGAAAGAGACCGAATACCCACACCCAAAGACCTCACTCGCCCGAGTGTTGGGAAAAACTGACAACGATATGCCTGATTCAGGATGTGAAATTCTGTCGGGTTAATGTACCTATCTGTGTGGTCACAAAAGTCCAAAACCCAAAGGCTGCTCCCCGCTGACTTCCAGAGGGCGCAGCCCCTGTCGAACGGGAGGCCTGATACGGTTGTGAGGTTAAGCAGGCATGTGCAGGACGTGACGATTCCTTGGGTGAGCCCAGAAACAGAGCGATATGTGCCGGCTCTGCATGCATGGAAGCCTCCTTGGATGGCGGGGAATGCCCATGATCTGCCCCTGCCTTCCCTTGAGGGCCAACTGTTCCACAGGGGGCTGCCCCAAAGGGGTACTCCGGGGGCAATACCTGCGGCGAAGGCGACAAAATGGACACCACACAAATCAGGCAACGTCTCGACCCACACAAAACAATGGCCACAGTCACCCTAGAAATAGGCCTGACGTCTTCCTTCGAAGTCGGCGTACAGCTGCCCAAGAGGCAGGGAAATGAAAAACGGTTGTACACGCAAAAATCAGGTCCAGGTGAAAGCCAAAAGTCCAAGCGGACGATTAACCAGGACCTTCCACTGGAATTCACAGCCGGTGTTCGGTGAAAAAAAAAAAAAAAAATTGACATGTGCAGTGACAACCAGTGATTATTTTCATAGCCTATCTTGTATACAATGAAAAACTGTGTTCATGTAACTCACTGGAGTCTAATGCTGGAGATAAGCAACCACCTGAGAGTGAAACACCCATGAATTGAATGCAAACTGATGTTTTGAATAGCTCCGGTTACTCAGTTAACTGTAAGCATGCTAAATGTTTGCTCTGAATCAGTTTCTGTTTTTCATATACAGCAAATATGGCAAAATGAAAACTAGATGTTTGCTGACATTTCCTTTTAATTCTTACAAGGACATGATTATTAACAGGTTGCCTGCCAGATTTCAACGCTATTGGATGACAGATTTTAAAATATGGGCAGGACTTCTGAAAGTGGACTATAGCCACTGAGCAATTTAAAGGCTATCTTACTTCTGTTAAGTGTGCCTGACAGCTCAAAGGTCTATAGTTCAAACTGGACTGGAGGCAAATTCTTCTCAAATATGACCTAGACTCCTAGGCCCACAAAAGCTGACATAGGTATAAGTAAGCAAATCTGGGAGTAAATGTGGCCAGCATGATACTGACAACATCTCCTGCCGAGGGCAGAATCATTCAATGACTAGACAATTGCCCGAGGACACTAGTCCTGGGTTGAATCCACATCATGGTGTAGTTTTATTATTGACTAAATTCAACTTCCCCGCTAGGCACAGGACGGTTAACATCCTTTTCCAGTCTTCTACTTCTTGTTGTCTCCACTGCATTATGCTTACATATCCATTGCTCTCAGGCTCCTACAGCCCCCTCCCCCAGCCCTCAAATTTATCTTGTGAGGCTCCCATCGACCACCTAAAAGGGAGCTGCAGCAAAGACTTGAGGACATTTTAGTCTAGCCATTTTGCTTATACTGCTCCCACTAATAAAAGAAAAAGACAAGTGCTGTCCAGACTGTGAAATGACATAACAGTGAAGTTTTACTTTAGTGATCATGGCGTTAATTATTTAGAAATATGTAGAAACTTGCTTGCAAATAGTAAAGGTGGCTGGCACAATGTTGACACCACCATAAGTCAATTGTCAACTGTTCTAAAAAAAATACAGGTCTAGTAGCATATGTTTGATGCACCAATAGCATGCAAAGAGTCTTTTACATTAGTGTTTTTTTCTTTTTAACTATATCAAAAGTTAGTTACCTGTATAAAGTTTGTTGTGTATCTTTTACAGAATGTTGCAGAGCCAACCCCAGCATTTTTTGTGGCTGTTGCGGTTTTTCTAGACAAATTTTACGTTCAACAGTTTGCCAATGCCCACTGAGCGGTCAGCTCTCGGTACCACTGTTGAAACCAATACAAGACGATTTGCTGCCAAATCGTGTGCAGCTGCAATTGAACCCGGCACCCCAGCATTACAAAGCAAGTTCCCCACTCCTAAGCCCTGTTGTGTGCTGATTCATGTAGGCTGTAGCATTGTAGGGGACAATGTGGTGTGAATTGTGTTTTCTGGAGTCCATGGGAATGTCTGGTGACCTGAGTCAATATTTGGTACAGTGTTGACTTAAGCCAGGAGATGTCAGTCAGCTGAGTCAATATTGTGGCAAGTGGGAGTTGACTTGGCCCGGGATGGACCAGTGGATTCACGAAGTATTAGAACAGTGTAGGCTAACAATCATAGGTAGTGTGAGAATAGCAGCTGTCGCACGGAAGAAGAATGGAATTCATGACAGCCTGCGTCTCGTGTGCATGGGCCAGCTCACAAGGGACAGGCAAGAGTATATACTGGGGTTAAGTTCAGTTGAGAGAGCAGTGGACAGTTAAGAACTCGAACCGCTGAGTCGAGAGAGAGACTGGTCAAGAGGACAATTGAGAGTGCAATCGAAGGAGGAGAAGTCCAGTAGGCAGAGTCAGGCCAAGAGGGCTGGACTACTCAAGAGATGCTGTTTTGGGTGAAGACACGTAAGCGGTAGGATCACTAGTGAAACAAGACAGCAGAGATGTCAGCGATGAAGGGGACTCAGAGCCAGGAGTCCTGCCGGTCATCAGGTTACTTCGACGAGGCTGATGTGCTGTGTGCACATGCTGGAGATTGAGTATTGTGACAATTCCAGTCAGCTGATGTGATGGTGTCTGCTCCGCATAGAGCAGCAGAGGTCAAGTTGATTATGAGATATATCCTGTTCATCTGTACAGCGAGCCTGGAGGTGAGGCATGCTGTAGACCTAGAACTGTAGCGGTCAGCTCATGTGTAGTGGCGGCTAGTACAAGCGGCCCGTGAGAGCGACGCTATACCTGTTAAATGAGCGAAGGGAGGGACATTCATCTCATATTAGCCAGGACAGATTTATGAATTACTTCGCTTGCATTGTTGTGTGTGTGAGGGATTGTGAATACCCTCTGTGTTCGTGACAATAAAATGTTCATATATGGCAGCCATTACGTCGCTGAGTTTCCTGACAGCTGTGTGTGGAAGCATGAGCTTAGAGTGTGCTGGTTGCTGTAAACAACACGTTAGCACACAACAAGCCCTAGACACTGTATACAAGTTTCTTTAACAACTGCACTTAAAGGTCCGCACACCCTAAAATGGGTAATAAGAAATAAACTGCAGCAGAAGCTAGCATGATGTTGAAAACACCACCAACAGAGTGCAGACTGGTCTATCACCACCCATAGAGTGCAGACTGGTCTATCACCACCCATAGAGTGCAGACTGGTCTATCACCACCCATAGAGTGCAGACTGGTCTATCACCACCCATAGAGTGCAGACTGGTCTATCACCACCCATAGAGTGCAGACTGGTCTATCACCACCCATAGAGTGCAGACTGGTCTATCACCACCCATAGAGTGAAGACTGGTCTATCACCACCCATAGAGTGTAGACTGGTCTATCACCACCCATAGAGTGCAGACTGGTCTATCACCACCCATAGAGTGCAGACTGGTCTATCACCACCCATAGAGTGCAGACTGGTCTATCACCACCCATAGAGTGCAGACTGGTCTATATAAAAATACAGGTCAGTAAAACAAGCTTGATGTACCAACAGCATTCAAAGGGTCTTTACATACTTTTTTTTTAGAAACTGTCATTAGTTAGTTACATGTATACATCTTCTGTTAACAACTGTATATCCAGGTCAGACCAGTTTAAAATGGGTACCAGGAAACGCCTTGGGAAGTAAAAGCACCAATGGTGTGAATAGGGTTCCGTGCCTGCCTTATTTTTAAATTACTATGTTCTATGTTAGTTACCTGTATTTGTGTTCCATTGACAGATGCATTCACTGTTGGTGTTGATAGGGGTGGTGTGGATGCTGGAACAGATGCAACACTTCCAGCTTTGGGTGATGCTTGCTGATTGGGACTGGCCAGCTGTGTGGGTACTGGAAGACCTCTGCTTGCAGACTGGTCACTCTGTGGAGAGATGGAGCCCTTTTCTCTATCGCCTGGCGGTGTCAACGATGTAGCTCTGTTACTGGTTACAGGGTTTATCTGACTGTTAAGGTAATATTCACACATTAATGGAATTGAATAAAGAAAAGAAAGAAAAATATATTCAAACATTAATCAAACAGTAATTGGAAAAATAACACTTCAACATTACTAGAATCAACCAAACGACAATAAGAAAAAATAATATACCTACAATATTTTTTTTTTAAAAACAACGAACAGGTCAATTTAGTTTTTAAAATGAAATAAAAAAATATTTATCCTAGCATTCATAGCACTGCAAAACTTCTGTATCGGAAGGAAATGGCCGACAGTACAATAGACAAGAGGCTGTAGACCAACATGATTACTTAAGCCACACAGTATGGACTATAAGACGTCCTTAACTAAATTATTTTTAATATGTGGTGGTAAGCAATCATAGTGGAAATGACATGTCTGAGAAAGGCTGCAGGAGTGGCCCAAAGAGACAAAATCAGAAACAAGGCTGTAAGAGAGAAAAAGTCGGAACAGAACCAATTCTAAACTACATAAAAAGACAGCAAATCGAATGGTTTGCCTGCTTGGAGAGAATGCCTTGTAATGCCATTTCTTTCAAAGCATACATCAAAAATAAAGAGAAAGAGTGTCGAGCACGCACAAGACAGAACAAGAACAAGATGGAAAGATAACATCAGAGAAACTCAACAACAGCATGATGTGTCTATGGTCAAGGCAAGAAGAGAAGAAGCAGAATCTCACATCTCCCTCAACACCCAAAAGGAAGTGAAGAAGAAGAAGCAGCAGGAATCATAACATCAGACAGAAGAAGTCTGACAGAGATCAAGAGCACAAAAGCTGTACAGGAATAGCTACATTTCTGAAGCTGAAGAATTTCTTAATATACCATTTTCACAAACTGCCAGAAAAAGAGTACTGAAGTGTTATGTCAAACTCGTTTTGCTATAGGATGGTGATTCTGGAATGTGAAGAAACAAATTAGGAGGCGAAAACCAAACTTGTCATGCTGTACAGCAGTGGTACTGAAATATGGAGAAACAGATTAGGAAATGATGTGTTACGTTGTCTACAACATGTAGACAAGAAAACAGTTAAGCTCACTAAAGTCTCAGGTCTGCAGACTGCTTCCTTCTGGCCTCCAAAGATGAAACCACTGGTGAATAAGATGCTCAATATACAGAAATGAGGTTAAGCAGTCAAGTGCAGGACTAGATAATTTCTTAGGTAAGCCCAATTTGAGAGCGTAATGTATACCAGCTCTGCATTTATGGAAGCCTCTTTGTATAGTGGAGAGTTCTGATATTCCGCCTCTGCTTTCCCTTGGGCCAACCAATATGTACGCTGCTGCTCTCGATAGTCGAGCTAACCTTTTCTTCTCCTCTTAACATTTACTGGCTGTAAACTCCGGCAAAAAGTTCTGATTATTTGTCCACCTGTGGACTTTAGGTTCCAGAATGTGAGTATTCTAATAATTCTTGACTCTGTTTATTCTTTACTCTCATTATATAAATTTACATATTTTAAGAAAAAATTATTAATGAAGATAAATAAAATTCTTAAAAATTCATTAATGATCTGTGCACATTAAAAAAAGTATTTGGGGAGGGGGGGGGGGGCCGATTCCCATGGTTTCATGTATCCTGAGCCTTAATTTTTAAAAAACTGTCCAGTGACTCTCCTCCCAGGTAACCTAATACTAAAGCTACAGGCAATTTATGTCTGTTTAAAACAGCCATTTATGTCCAAAGAAACATCCCCTCTCCCATGCTATTTATAGCCATAATACTAATCACTGGACAGCCTAAATGCTGCACAGGAATAAACACAGCTAATGATGTTTACACATCTCGGAAAAAGGCCACTGCTGAAATGCCCGTTAAGTAGCACTCACAGGATTGTGGCTTCTCGGGGTGAAAGAGTTAACTTCCACTATAGAAAAACAAGCAGCTTTCTCGTGGCATTTCATTAGATCAATTTTCTGCTGTGTTTGCAACTGAAAGTGCAGTCGACACGCTGTGTAGTGGTTGGCAGCTAGGTTGTGATATCTTGCGCCTTTCAGCCAAACATATCTAATTTTAGCAAGCCCCTAATAAGCTGTCTTTTATGTCAGGCTCAAGTCGGGGGTGGGAAAGGGGGCAAGGGTTCCGGAACCACATAGGAAGTCAGACACTTTCACAGATACGTACTTGGATATAAGACTTTCATCTGTGCTACTGGCAAGAGAGTTACTGCTCCTCTGTCTTTGTGTGCCAAACAGACGACTAACACTACTGGCTCCACCACTACCAGGTGGCGTGCTCGCTGTCTGCTGGGCTTTATTTCTATGACCCTAGACAAATTTAGAGAAACAAAGATGTTTAATCAAGAACTAGATTTAAAATAAATCCATTTTCAATACAATAACAGTAATTCGTAAAATTAAGTCTACTATTGGGATCAAATAAAGAATTTTAAAATATAAAATGAATTTCAGAGGCCACTATACAAAGTTTTCCAAAAATAATTATACACCTATTATTAAGATCAGGTAGGTGCCTTGCCTACTGGTATGGGTGATCATGCCTCTCCACAACCTGTTATCTTCAACAGCATGTATCAGTTTGTGTGCTGACATCCCTCCATGCCATGACAAAAAGCTGTCATAAATTTTCTAGTGTTGTCTTCCTTCCTCTTTCCACTGGTCACAACTTGTTCCAGTTACCTTCTTCTCTTAACATGATGAAACTAATTGTCTCTTTCTCATGTTTATGGCGTGTTTATAAGCCCTCACCTCTTTCAAGACATCTAGGTTGCTCTTTTTGGTCGTCCATGGAATTTTAAGGATTCTTCTGTAAAACTACATCTCCGAGGCCTCAAGAAACTGACTTGTTTATTAATCGTCCCAGCAATGTGTTAAAACTGTCTCTATATAGCATGCTAAAATTAGACTTCCGGTCAAAATGGACGCTAGGCAGGGGCACTGTTTGGAGCTTAAGCAAACTTTTTTGCTTCTGCCAGACGGTGGCCAATGCATTTTTGCTCCATTTGTAGACTGCATATAGTTTCGTCGCAAAGCTTCTGAGATGAATGAATGGCATGACACTGTGAGCTGCGGATTTCATTTGGAATGCTTTTTCGACTGTGACCAACGTGGTGGTGTGAACTGTAGATTCAGAAAATGCTGCGATGCCTGTCGTCACAATGTTGGTGGTGCCCGTATGTGATTGAAATTGAACGCGTGGGCAACTGCTGATCGTTTGGTGACTTCTGCTACCATCAATGATGAACTGCATTTCTAATGTCGTACTGTTTGTGTTAGCACTTCGGATGGCTACCGTATGCTTTAATGCGTGTATGCTAGATTTGCTGAGACAGCAGTCTGTCAATCTTTCCACAAGGGACTGTGATAAAACATCTGTGTGTTTTTCGTTGGCACAGGAGCGGAGCAAAGATGGGGTGACCCGTTTGCTATGTAGCTGAAACAAAGACTACCAGACCAGACCAGACCAGACCATGCTAGAATTAGGTTCAGTACTTGGCTGTAGTTACAGCTACTTTAAATACATAAATTAGACAGGACATTTTCAACATCTCTTAAATAATGTACCTGCAGGATGACAAATTTAATAAATAAAATAAACTGTGTTACCATGCCCTTTTATGTATAAATATTTATCTGAACACCCCTTGTTAAAAATAATTTTCCCTTTTATATATTGTTCATTTAAAAAATGTATATAGAACTGCCTCAATGAAAAATATAGTATAGGCATAGGTTGTGATTTTCAACAACACAATTGTTTTAAGAAATTTTTTTTTTTTTAGTTACGCACTAATTAAATATTAATACCCACACAACATGAAAAACTGTTTTCTTGCAGATTAACAACATTCAATTCTCCAAATATCCGTTGGGATAAAAGCAACAGAGCTTAAACAAAAAACCCAACCATCTAATGACATCTTCAAACCAATTTAATTCAGCTTATATTGCACTCAGAAACTCCGCTAAGACCGGTCCCAAGCCCGGCTGTAAAAGGAGGAGGGTCTGGCTGAACCTGAGTGCTTCATGCGTCTCCGGAAGTAGTGGGTAACCGTGAATCAGCCAGACGGCCTGCATGGAGGCCGCAAGGAGGCAGCCCCTCCACCATGCAAAGGCACAACAGGCCAATCACCTGTTTGCCTTAAACCACGATTACAAGTAACTACAGAGAGAAAACCGGACGGATCTTAACGGCGACGAACTGGCATGGCTTACGGACTACGATTTATGGAACATGGAATATAAGAGGCATTAACGGAAAGGAAAACGAGTTAGTAGGGGAGATGAGGAAAGCAAAATAGGAGTCTTGGCTCTGACTGAAACCAAGAAAAAGGGGCAAGGAATCACAGATCACGATGGAAGTATGCTGCTCTACAGGGGTGTCCCTATGACGGAGAGAGCCAAGGGAGGTGTTGGCTGTATTGTGGCCAGGAATCAAGTTAGTAACATCAAGGAATGGAAATTTATCTCAGAGCGAATAATGGTGTTAGATCTGAAAGAAGAAGATAAAATTGTCAATTTTGTCATTGTGTACGGGCCAAATGAAGATGAGCGAGTAGATGTTAAAGAAGAATTCTTCGAACTGCTCCAAAGGACCATAGATGACTGTCACGATGAAATTATCCTCCTAGGAGATCTAAATGCCAGAGTAGGAAATGATCACTCTAGATGGGGTGGAGTGATCGGGAGATATGGTGAAGATGTTTTGAATGATAATGGCAAGCGACTTCTCAGATTCTGCAGGGAACAGAACCTTGTCATTACAAACACAAAATTCCCCCACAAGCGTATACATGCATACACAAGATGTGAACCTTCAAAGAAGGAAAAATCCATCATTGACTACGCCATAGTTAGGAAAAGTTCATTCAAGTTTGTGAGAGATGCCAGAGTCATGAGAGGACCAGAGATTGGAAGTGACCACTATCTGGTCACAATAAAGAGAACAACTGAAAGAACTGCTCCAACAAGGCAACACAGACAACCATGCAAGAAACCAAGCAACCAAGAAGGGATGAGGATTAAAGCATACAAGCTAAGAGAGCCAGATATTAAGGCTAGATACCAGGAGCTTATAGTGAAAGCAACAGGAATTGAAGAAGAATCATCAGAGGACACTGAAACCCTCTGGTGCAGATTCAAGAATATCCTCACTGCAGCTGCAGTAGAAGCATGTGGTGAAGTCCCAAGTGGAAGGCGGGGACACAGGACACCTTGGTGGACAGAAGAAGTCAAATTGAAAATAGGAGAAAAGAAAAGGGCATGGAAGCAATACCTGGCAGCCAGGAACACAGCTAAAGAAATAGAAAAATATAAACAATATGTGGCACTCAGAACAGAGACCAAAAATATTGTGCTTAAAGCAAAACAGAAATCATGGGAAGAGTTTGGAGAAAAGTTGGAAAAGAATACAAGAGAAAACCAAAAACTGTTCTACAAGACCCTTAAGAACATGAGAAAGGAGAAAGAGTGCCCACTTAAATTCATAAAAGACAAGGAAGGGGCTCTGCTTACTTCTACAAATGATATCATGGGCAGATGGAAAGAATACTTCTCAGAGCTCCTTGGCGTTGAGGGAAGTCATGATCCAGAAATAATGGACCTCACTGCTGAGAAGGAATTCAATCATGTGGAAGATAACATCAGGATGGAAGAATTGAAGGCAGCTATTGAGAAGATTAAGCTGGGAAAAGCAGCAGGTCATGATGGTATAACACCAGAGATGGTCAAATATATGGGAGTCGAAGGTGAGCGCCTTCTACTGAAGGTTCTCCAGGCAGCCTGGTGTAGCAAAACTATACCAAAAGATTGGGAGATTGCCATCATTATACCTATATTTAAAAAAGGTGATAACAGACAATGTGAAAACCACAGAGGCATATCCCTCCTCAGCATTTCCGGTAAAAGTTACTCTAGAATTCTTGAGCAGAGACTTAGAAGTCTGGTAGAGCCACAGCTGGACGAGGCCCAATGCGGCTTCAGAGCAAACCGAAGTACTCAAGACCTTATCTTCACACTGAGACAGATGAGTGAAAAAGCCCTGGAATATAAGAGTGAGATGCACTTATGTTTTTTGGATCTGGAAAAGGCATTTGACAAGGTACCCTGGAAAAAGCTCTGGGACTGCTTGGCAGGGAAAAACATCCCAGCACCCCTGATCAGTGCAATACAAAAGAATGCCTTGGTACTATCTGCCACAGCGAGCCACACTAAAACTCTGCAAGGGGTATAGAGCGAGCGGAAAACCTCGGAAATATGCAGTGATAGAATTAAGAACAACCTTACATAAATGAACATCAATCCTAAAAGTGCTCTTGACAGAGTTTCTACAAAAAGTGCAGAAATTATGTAAAAACAGCAGACCAAAAGTCAGAAGAATTCAAGACTGCCAGCGGTGTTAGACAAGGTGATATTCTCTCACCTTACCTCTTCATTCTTATGATGGATGATGTCATCAAGACCTGTAAGGAGAAGACAAAGAAGTACTCTGTAGGGTACTGGAAGATGAGACCAATCTGTATAACAGAGCTGGCTTTTGCAGACGATGTGGCCGTGATAGCTAAATCAGAGGCACACCTTCAGTCCAACTTACTTGTCTGGAAGGAAGAGCTTGAAAAGAAAGGGATGACCATCAGTGTCTCCAAAACTAAAACCATGGTGATCTCAAGAGAGGAGAAGAAACACCAGATCATGATGGGACAGTATGCGCTGGAGCAGGTTAACCAGTTCAAATACCTTGGAGTTGTATTAGACCAAAATGGAGGCATTAAGACTGAGCTAACTACACGAAAAGCAGCTGCTGGGAGACTCTTCCAGGCCATAAACCGAGGGTTTCTTAGCAAAAAAGAAATTGGCAAGAGGACGAAAATGGCTGTTTACCGCTCTACCTATGTACCAGTCCTGACCTATGGGTGTGAGTCATGGGCAATGACAACAGCTCACAGAAGCCAGCTGCAGGCCTCGGAAATGAGATACCTGAGAAAGGTGGTCCAAGTGACAAGAAGGGACAAAGTCCGCAATCAGACAATACGTCAAGATCTTGATACCCAGCCCTTACTAACCCGAGTAGATCAGTCACAGTTACGATGGTTTGGACATGTATGCAGATTGGGAGAAAATCGGCCACCATGGCAAGCATGGGAGGCTAAGAACCAGGGAACCAGACCTCCTGGACGACCCAGGGTGCGCTGGGAAGACAACATCCGACAGTCCCTAACTGACAGAGGACTGGAATGGAACAAAGCCAGAAAGAAAACTGCTGATAGAGACGTCTGGCGATCTCTCTGGCAAACCTCTACACCCCAAGGTAAAAGAGGAGCGACTAAGTAAGTAAGTAAGTAAGTATATTGCACTCAGATCGTTTTAGGTAGAAATCTTTCAACTTTCAAGCTGATGCTCCTTGTCACAGTTTTTCAATCAATCAGTGATGTGCCATTTCTACAAAGATGGCTTGCTTCAATGAATCTCTAAAATATTTTGTTTCTTGCCGCCACAGTTAAACACTCTTTCTGACTTCTGTCCGTCCATCTCTTGATGTTATCTTCCCAGTTGTACCTGTGCCTGCCTCTTGTTTGCCCGTCTTCAACTTTTACATCCAGTAAGGCTTTTATATGATTGTGTTTTATGCAGTGGTATAGTTGTTATTGCACTTGCCTCCTGTGACAGTGGTTTCGAGTTAAGAAATGGCTGGCTTTTTCCTGATGACCCAGCTTTAAACAAATGGGTACCAGACTATCTCCAGAGTTTTCTGGGAAGGAAATGTGATGAGAAAGGGAAGTGACCACCCAATACAGCATACAATGAGATCCACAGGTGCTTCTGCACCTCTGCTTCTCCATTAAATGCTTACTGTTCTATAAAAATTAAGGTCTAGCACCACATACCCCATGCCCCAATGTTGTGAAAAGGGTCCTTTACTTTACTTAACCACAGGACTTATGGCCCAATAAGGAGGACTAGGCATGGCAGAATGTTTAGCTTCAAAGTTATTTTTGCTCCTGTCAGCACCTTGCAGTTTCCATATTTGGACGGAAGTCTGCAGTTTAGCTGACTAAGATAATGAGTTAGGTGTTTGGTGCAGCACAGTGAGCTGTATTTTTCATGTGGAATGTTTTCCATTTGGGCAGCGGGAGAGTTGTGGTACTCAATATGGCGCAGAGCTGGTTTATATGTGGGGGGATAAAGTAGGTTATATAATAGTCTTTATGCGCATATCCAGCTTATCGTGAGCGACTAGTTCCACCAATAACAAACTGCATTTCTATTGGCAACTGGCGCTGACACCTCTAGCAACTGCCTTATGTATTTACTGCATGTGTATACTTCTGGGCTGTGCCGGGACTAGCTGTAAATGTTCATTCTCTAGTTTTTCAAATGGGACAGGGAGGGACATTTCATTTGATTTTCACTGGCACAGGGACGGAGCACCTATGGGGTGACCCGACTGCAGTGAAGCTACTGAAACCTTAACTAAGACTCAGCAAACAAGAACAACCACCAACATATGTCATCCAACCAACAAACCGCATGTGTACCTGTGCTCTATTATTACTACTATTAGAAAGTTCTGTTTTAGAACTTGTGCCTGGTGCAGGAGATCCTGACCCATCGGTTACTGGCCAACTGGAATTGGAATTGGTGAGCTGGGTGTGACTGCTGGCCCCGCTGTTGGCTGGATTCGGCAGCAGAGGTCCTGTATTAGGCAGTGTAAGTTTGATATCACTTGATATGTCCATCAACGATGGTATAACTTCAGAATTCTCTATCGACTGAGGTGAAATGGGCTTTTTACTGAAACAACAAATGATGCATGTGTAACAAGTTGAGGAAAATGATCAATAAAAATACAGGCAGGCATGAAAACTGACTATGTGGTCAGTCTGACAATATCCTGCATTCTGCAAGAAGGTACGATTTTAATCATCATAATTTTTTCTGCTGGACCATTAGATGTCACATAGGGCAGCCTATTCCTCCTGTTCAATCTCTTCGACATCAATGATGGAATCTGGTCCGGCATCTTTGGCTTCTTATATCAATTTATTTTTAAGGATTTCTTTTGGATGTTCTCACTCTCCTCAATCACTTTACTTCCAATTTAGTGCCTGTTTGATGATTCTCTGTTCAATTTTTAAATTTGTAAACATTCTGTAAAACTCTGGCAGACAGTCCTGGTTGTTTGTCCACTTCGGTACTTTGATCTTGTTCCAGGACTTGAGTTGGATGCGCATCTGTTTTACAGACCTGGCTTATTTGAGGGGAGACTGTTGGTCCCTTGCCCCTCAGGCAAAGGCACTTCAACTTCAAAGGGAATATCGATCCTGTCTATGCTGACCATGCTCAGGTTTGGGAACCTGTTTCTAAGATGACTGCGGAGAAATACAGATGGGTCTTGACCAGCTGGGGCCCTATGGCACCAACAGGAGTGGTTCAGCACGTCTACATCCCGTGTGCTGATTCATAACCTGGTTATGTCTGGATATGTCTTTTCGCTGATGTGAAGTTCCAGTATAACAGTGAACAGCAAACTGTTGTGGCAGCAAACTCTACAGATATGACATTGTTGGCAGTCATATATGCACATGGCATACTGAAGTGGAGCCACCAGCTTCCTTTCCTTCACAAATATAACCAGGCACCTTTATCAGAATGGGCATCGCAGAACTGTATTATAAAGTTGTACCGTACAAGTCCAGACATCCTGGCAATGTTTTAGGTCCATATTTAGCATTAATAATATGCAGCAGATATTACGCAGGATTAATTTTCTCCAAAGAAATTTGTGTAATCCATTTTTTATGAATGGCCACATTCTGAGAAACAAAAACAAAACAACCCCCCCCCCCCCCCCCCGAAATTTTGTTTGAAATCCCCCGTTCATGCGGGTGACCAATTTTCTGAAATCTGATGTGTTAGGCATTAGGCAGAAGGCACATATATCGAAGCCCCAATCTGTAATCCCAAGAGAGTGCTAACACCCCCCCCCCCCTTCCCCAACCTCCACTTTTAAAGACAAACCGAGAAGAATAAAAAGAATAAGCTAACATTATTTACCACTATGCCATCAAGATGACTTACATGGGACAAAAAACATCATCAGTGGCCACACTTACATTTTATTATTGGCTATGTGATGATTGTTGGCTGAATTCTGAGCATTTAAAAACTGTTCTATCAGCATTTGTTCATATTCTTGATGTTTTCTGGGGATGAGAGTGGAATATATGTACCCAGTCAAACAAAATCAACTATGCAAGCATAAATTTCAACAACAACAACAACAAAAAACACATTTAAAAAAGTGAAATAACTAATACTTCTCCAAGTTTGGAAGCATACAGCTCTAGACCCCCTTTTTTATAGACTTATTTTCCCTAGTGGTTCCAGAGCCCCATGGGTGGGGAGGGCAGATCCTTCTACCCCCTAATAACTATGTTATTCAATGTGATTAGTAAAAACCGTTTCCTACAAAGTCACAGTGCATCTACCTGAGAGGTGAGGAACCAACATTCTGCACACAAATAAGCCAGATGGACAAGCAAAACTCAAGTCCTGGAATAAAACAACAACCAGAACTTTCCGGCAGAGTTTACAGCGACTGAAAGCTAAGAAGAAGTAGAAGTCACCTTTTACGGCATGCCTGTTGGGATTTATTCTTGTTTCCCCCCCCCCCCCCCCCCCCCCCCCCCAAAGTGAGTCCCCGAACCTACAGAGAGAGGCAGAGATACAAACAGATAACAGAAAACAGCCAGATATTAGAGTTACAAACTCCAAAAGGAGAAATCTTAATGAAAAAAACTCAGAAAGTCATATTCAACCACAGCTGACTTCACTGTTGTTGGTCAGAACTCGGTATGTCATTATTTTTAGATATAACACATCAGAGTCAACAACTGTATGTACACAAAGCTAAAGATGGGTGCCAGAGCAATGTAGCAAACATCTTAAACTGCAAAATATACACTGTACAAGAAAAATGGAGATAAACATGACCTATGCAGAATGACAGGCATCGCTTCAGAGGTCCCAGTATATAGTGTTCTTTGAATATTTTCTCTGAGGTATGCAGGAGTGTTTGGAGCTTAACATGCAGACAGACTGGCTGTTTCTGCACAAATGAGCAGTTAATTTATGTTTGAGGTTTAGATGTGGTCAAGACCCTTTATGAGCCAGTGAGCAATACGGGGGCACGAATAAATCATTAGGGTCTGCATGGAATGGTACAGCCAGGAGTGACCAGGGGACCTGGTCAACACTTTACACTCAGAGGCAAGGTAAGACGGAGATACAATCAAACTGCTACTGGCACCACCAGAACTGGAACTCTTCAATGACTGCTGAAGATGAGGATGGAGTGCTTATGGAAAAGTCCTGAGTGCTGTAGTGGCAGTTCTTAGCTCAACATACACTGTAACAGAGAATTACAGTAATGTAGTTGCTAGATGCTGGCCTGTACAGTCTTAATTTCTTTATTTCAAATATGCAGCGAGTCATTTTTTTTTTTTTAAATTAAACCCCTTCAAAACTAACCCTTGCTCCTTGTTCAAACCACAGACAATGAGGAGGACATCAAGAGATGGATGAACAGCTAAGACAGTGCACAAACAAGAGAAAGAAACAGAGCATGTTAGAGATCCACTGCAGCCAGCCTTCAGTGCAGACACAGCACCTGACTTACTGACTGACTGGTCAAAGAACAGCCGTTCAAGTACCACAAATAAAAGCAAAGACTAAAAATATTCATACCCAGCTTGCATTTCATCTTTGGTAAAACTAGCAGCTTCTTCGCCCATTTCATGCAAGTACATACAATCCTGGGGAGAGACACATAGGATAAATATTATGGTATAGAATACAAAATTATAATATCAGAGAGAGAGAGAGAGAGAGAGAGAGAGAGAGAGAGAGAGTGAGAGAGAGATAGAGAGAGTGAGAGAGATAGAGAGAGAGAGAGAGAGAGAGAGAGAGAGTGAGTGTGTGTGAGTGAGTGTGATTGAGTGCGGGTGCGTGCGCATGTGTGTGTGTAGGCGTGCACGCGTCAGCTACTATAACAGTCACCAGCATCTCTACACCTTCAGACATCTGCTGCGGGAAATGGAAAATTTACGGGTGTATCTGGATTCTTCATCAACACTATTTAAATAGTTGAAACACTAATGCTTTTTTTCCCCATCAATGAGAGATATTGTTGGTGCTTTCTTAATATCCTACCCTAAACTGGAAAAATCCTCAGGTCACGGGACAGTCTAATATATCAGGGGTTGGTAGGTCCTAGGCTGCATGAAGTCGCGGGACCTGTGCTGCACTCTCTCGTGGGACATAGGTGGGTTGGGGTTAGGGCCAGTTCTAGATGTTTTGGGGTGGTTAAAAGCATCAGAAAGCCGAGAAACCCAGTCTTACCACCCTCTAAAATGTTGGACTGTCCTGTGATGTCATCTGGGGTAGGATATTACGAAAGAACCATAATGTCATAATGTAGAAAAAAATTAAATAACGTCGAAAACACTAAACACTGATTAGACTATATAAACAGTGGGGTCTCTGAAATGTGTTTCTAGGTAGAAAGGGCAAGCATTCCATCTTTTATTATCTCAACGACACCCGTGTAAAACACTCGAGAAATCTTGAAGGCTGGCTACAAAATGCCTCCTCTCAACTGATCCTGCAATCTTGAAATCAATGGCAGCGTCTTGCTGACTGACGACTCGTGTGGCGACGACAGCCCGGATGACAAAATGCTGCTATTTTCATATCTTGAGTTTATTATTATTATACTGAGTCTTGAAGTTGGCTGGTTTTTAAAATGCCCACTTTTACAATATAGCTCCAGGGGTTCTCCCAAACAATGTATACCATACACGCGTGTTTCATATAGACCCATTATATTAGACGGTTGATCCAGGAACACCCCCCCCCCCCCAGGGTGGTTTCTAAAGTCAACCTAAAAATTAACACCTCATGAGTGCTACAGACTAAAACACGATTATTTTATTTAAGCAGATCATCGTGACAACAACCCCCCCCCCCCCCCCCCCCCCCCCAGTTCATTTCTACTCTCGTTTGCCAAAAAAATTCCAGGGAAATATTTCACCAAACCAAGAACTTAAGATATTCCAGTGCAGGAAATACCCATTTCTCCTGATATCATATGGCGGGTTAAAAACACAAACATTTAGAATAATGAAATTGAAAAAAAAAAAAAAAAACGGACAACAACAGAACACCTCTAGAAAAGTGGACTGGACTGTGGTTTCCTGGATTTCCTTTGTTTTGGGTCATTTAACTGAATTGTACCTAATTACTTAAAAAGGACTAGCGAACACTCTTCTTCACCGCTTTTTATTGTTGTAACAGAAGCAATGACGTTAAATAATGAATATTAGAAGTATATAATGCTTGATGAAAAATGTAATGTTCTTTCTAGATATCTCCAAATCGAAACATCTTATTTATCTCTCACATACCTAGAGATGTAAACTTGAATATATTTAAACAATACAGCAGTTTGTATGAAATTGCACACATTTTGTTCTGCAATTTCATCAAAATTATGTTACACATTTACAATTTTAAAATCTGTACAAATACTGCAAGGATGTGAGTCAGGAAACTGGTTAGAAAGCAGTAAACTAAACAAAAACCTTAAGGGCATTGACCATTAAACCCCCCCCCCCCCCCCCCCCTCAACACACACACACAAAAGAACTAAAAACTGGTTAGAAAACACTGACTAGACACAAACCAAAATGAGAGTAACTAAAAACTAGACAAAAACCTTAAGGATGTTGACC